AATTTCAATGTTGGCATCGAGCGAGCACCCCAAGTCCGGGAGGACAAAATAATGCAAGTCAACATTGAAATACGGGGGAAGGGGAGCTCCTCGGATATCGATGGAATATGATCAAAATTGTCATCTTGTTTCTCGGAACGATCATATAACTTGCGATATTTTGTCCGCCCACTGCGTTTGTCATCCCCCTGCAGGGTGAAGGCTGACGCGGAGGGCGGGGGACTCGGAGAACTGGGGGAAGGATGATGGCGAGGATGATCAAGGGTACAGGGTCGACGTTCGGTCGAAGGTCGACTGCCGAGCTTCGAACAGGGTGCGAGCCGGAGCCGGGCCGAGCCGCCACTGGACCGAAGGGTTCACGCCTCGCTGATGTCTGAGCTGGACCCAGCTGGTTCGAGTTGGGCTGACCTGGGCGCACCTGCGCAGGGCTGACCTGGACGGGACTGCAATATATTGAGCTCGGGTGGATTGGGCCGCGCAGACCTGAGCTGGGCTGCGCTGGGCTGCCTCCGCTGAGCAAGCAAAACAGAACAATATATTGGGCTTCGCCTTCGCCCCGCGAGCAGCGCCGAGCCCGCGTCGCGCCTGGCCCGCGCCAGGCCGATCGTGGGCCGCGACGAGGACATGCGCGGCCCTCGCTGCGATCGCATCGCCAGGCGCACCCTTGGCTGCGCTGGGCACTGCCCAGGCTTTGTGCCGAACGTCGCCCGGTGCTGGCACGCGGCCGCGCAGCGGGGCAGGGCGCGCCAGGCGACGACGGGGTGGCGGGGCGCGCGCGGCGCCTGCATCTGGCCTATTTGAATACTCCCAGTACATTGGAATACTATTTGAATACCTATTTGAATACCTATTTGAATACCTATTTGAAAACCTCAGTTATATGGGGGGGAACCGATTTGAAAATTGAAAATAGAAAGAAAGAAAATACATTCTTTTTAACTCTACTATTCGCGCGTAGCAAATGCAAATCCCCATATAACTGCAGTTTTCATATAGGTATTCAAATAGTATTCAAATAGGTATTCAAATAGCACTGGAGTTTTCAAATGAGGCAAATGCAAGCGCGGCGGGCGCGGGGCCGCCCTGTCGCCGCCCGCTGCTCTGAGCAGGCCACGCGCCAGCATCGCCCAGGCAGAGCCTGCCGCGCCGAGCCCGCGCAAGTCCGCCGCGCGGCCCAGGGGCGGCCGCTCGCGCTCCAGGCGCAGCCCGAGCGCGGCCCTGGCGCCGGCCTGGAAATAGCTGACAGGAGGTCAACGTCACTCCGCACCAACTCATGCCCGTCGGGCGCCCACCGCGGATGAGCCGACAGGCCTCGGCTGAGCACGCCAGCGCTTAGATGGGCAAAAGGGCCCTGCGACAGGATGTTTACTCCGGGAAGGCCATTGCGAGCGCGCGTCAAGATCGGCTGCCAGTCGGGAAAAATACAACTCAAGAAATTACACTCATACGGCTGGTGGGCGGCTGGCCCGAAGTCCCGGCGCCCCACCGCGGCGACTGGGCATGAACTTCGCATGTTCCCCGTGTCCTCGGCGGCGGGCCGCCAGCGGAAGGCCGCGTGTTCGCGGCGTCGGCAGCCGCACGGGGCGCGCAGGGCATCGCTCCTCGAAGTCCTTCCCCTTTACGCGCTGGAGGGCCTTGCAGCGCCGGCCCATGGACTTCACCAGAGGAGTCAAGATGGCCTCGGGCACGCGCTGGAGAGCCCGCCTGAGGCGCGCCGCGAAATGGGCCCTGGCTTTCCTCTTACCAGGCGAGCACGAGGGCCTCCTGCTGCTTGCGGAGGCGGCGGTTGACGCAACCCCAGAAGCCGCAATTAAACGGGCTGATGTCTGGCGAGCGCCTCGGAAAAAGGCAGCGCCTCGATGGAATTGTCGAACTTGGTCTGCGCTGCGCTCCTGCGCCCCGAAGGAGTCGCTGCCCCCCAGAACCGGGAAGCGCTTCTTGCTGGAGTACGCCCGGCGCAGCGCTGGCGACAAGGACTTCGAGTGCTGGGAACTGGGGCTGACGAGGTGCATGATTGTTAGATGCCGTGCACTTCGAGTCATAGAAAAGTCTGTGCTTCCATCGGTGGGACGACGAAATGTTGCAAGTTGCTCCTGGCCGCGAACGGCCGCGCCGACATTGCGACCCCACCTCGACAAAACGCCCCCGCCCCCTAAATTTCAATGTTGGCATCGAGCGAGCACCCCAAGTCCGGGAGGACAAAATAATGCAAGTCAACATTGAAATACGGGGGAAGGGGAGCTCCTCGGATATCGATGGACTACGATCAAAATTGTCATCTTGTTTCTCGGAACGATCATATAACTTGCAATATTTTGTCCGCCCACTGTGGCATCACTGCCTTCTCCACCGGTGGCCGACGCCCTCTTGTCACTCGGCTCCTCTCCCCCCGCCATGTTTCACTTCCTGAATCCCAGCGGACGCTGCCCGGGCCGCGCCGCTGGCCCCGAATCGTGGCGCTCTGCCGCCCTCCGTCCGTTGCGCGCACCTCCTGCCTTTGGATCCAGGCGTGCGCTTCGGCAATACCGTCCACCGCCTCTCCGCAGTGGACTCTCGGCCCCAGGCCCTACTGTAGCTGTCTCACCGCCAGGCCTTCCTGGCCTGTCAGTGGGCCACCGCCGCTTGACCACTGGCTTCCCCCTGGACTTTCTAACCGAACGATCGGCCTTCCGCCGTCACCCTGGACCTCTCAAACAAGAAGGACGGCCTTCCGCCGTCACCCTGGATCCGTTGGCTCTGTGGGACACGTCTCGGGTACAAGACGTCCTCGCCCCTCTGTGCTAGACGACTCGGATGGGTATCGCTGGGCCACCTTTGATGTGCACACTCCTAGGGGTCTGCCGTGCATCGTGCCCTTCCCTACCTTCCACTTCGTCGGATCTGGGCTGTCGCATCTCAGGTGTGGTTGTTCTGTCTAGTTATCACTCTCCACACCCTGGATGCGCTTCTTACGTCGCGACTTGCTCGCCGCCTGCTCTTCAGTTGCTACCTGTCCCCAGTCGGCCTGTGGTACCCTGCAGGCTCCATGGATCGGTGCCCTCTGGACGTAATTGCTGGACGGCTTCCTACCGCGATCTTGGATCAGTGGCTTTGTGGGACTTGCCTGGGTATACACAGTCTCGTTCCGCTTGTGCTTTCCGCCTCGTTGGACTGCACTGTGACACTGTGCCGTGCACACGCCGCGTTTCGACGGGAGCGTGCATTCGGTGCCCTTTCACCCGTTGGGTCTGGGCCGATACGTCTTGGTGTGGTTGTCTTTTCGGAACATGGATGCACCGTGATGTCGCTGACGCCGCGGCTCGCTGCCGCCGTTGGGATCTTTGTTGGACTTACCTCCCCGACCTCTGTGTTACCCGATAGGCTGGGGCTGGCGTCTTCGGCAGTTCCCTTGTTCGCTCTTGGACGTTGGGACGTTTTCGCGCCATTTTGGCTGCGTTTGGTGGTCTCGGTGCCTACCTCAGGCCTGTTGGACGCACCTGCATGCCCGTTCAGGGGCTGTCGTGGCACCTGGACTGCATCGTCTTCCCTGGACGCTGTCGTGGGCCGCCTGATCCGCGGCCCTGCGCGCGTTAGGTAATCTAGTCGCGTCCGCGGCCCGTTCGCGACCTTCCGCCGCTGGCGCTTCCGCCTGCGGCTGTAAAACAAAAAAATATCCCCACCAGCTGTCCGCCGTCGGCTGCCGCTTGGCTCGGCTTAATGAGGTTCATTTTGTTCCTCGCATGTGCATGGCGCGGTCGGCTGTCGACAGTGACGGCTGGATTCGCAAATTATATGGCTCTGTGCCCCAGACGACCTGATTGACCCGCCCTCTGGAACCGTCCTTTGGGCCGCAGATCAAAAAAGTATCCCCGCCAGCCCATCCAGAGACGATGCCCATGAGAGCTGACGGGGGAGGCTCCGTGGCCATCTTGAGCCGTCTTGGCGCGGTCTTGCGGCCTCTTGAAGCATCTTGGGAGCCATCTGGAGCTAGCTTGGGCTAGGTCATTTTGGGCTCTCTGAGGCCCCTCGGGGGCCGCTCGGGGGCCTCTTGGGGGCCTCTCGGGTGCTTTGGAGGCCTCTTGGGGCTTCTTGGGGCGCTCTTTGGGTCCTCTTGGGAGCTCCTTGGGGACCCTGGATGGCCTCTTGGGGCCATCTTGGAGGCTGTCGGTCAAAAGAGGGGGGGTACTCGATTTGCGTCCCCCCCCTCGGGGGCCACGATCCTCGTGAGGGGTGGCAGAAAATGGCCCTCCCAATGGCCGAAAGAGGAGCCTCCGACACCTCGCGATCCCTCCCGAAAAACCTCAGGGAGGGGAGGGGGAGGGTTCCCCTCCCTGGAGGGAAGAGGGGTTGCGGAAGAGGAAAGAGACCCTCGTTAGACCACCTGTCGCCCAGAGGGGCTGGTGGGATCCAGCCGACGATCAGAGGAGAGACACGGACCACCAACACCGAGAACCCACCGGTGGAGGGCCGGCCCAGGGCGGTGGCACACCCGGGCGCCATTCGGTTCAGGACGACGCTCGGGCGTGCCACCGCGCAGGGGTCCGTCCGCCACCGGGGGGTGATCGGTGGCGGTGGCCCATGCTTCGCGCGAGGATGGCCACGCGTCGCGGTCTGGGCTGGAGCACGCGACCTGCTCCAGGGGGCGGCGGCAGAGCGCGGAGGCAGCCGCGCGGAGCGAGGGCTCGAGAGCAGGCGGCCCAGCAGCAAGCCTTGAGGCGTCTCCGATGACCCTCGAAGGCGTGCCCCGAGCCCCCCTCGTGAGCGACCTCGTAGCCCCAGCGTGCCTGCATCGCGCAAGCTTGCACAGCTGCGCACGCATACGTTCAGGAAGTGTTGCTTAGCGCGTCGCGCCGCCAATTCTGGCCCACCACGCTTCCGTGCGACACGCTGACCACGCCCCAGTCCCCAAACGTCAACGTCGCGAGCCTTTCCCAGCTTCCCGCTCCGCGGATCGGAATGGCAGGCTAAGCAAGAGGTCCTGACCGTATCTGCAGGCGTGCAAGTGCGACCGTGGCGCGGAGGCGTCTTCCGACTCGGAGCTGGAGGAGGACGACCCTTCGTGCAGGTATGTGATCGGTGACGAGGACTCCGCCTGGGACCGGCAGTGGTAGCCCCAGAGTTGCGGGGTGCAGGCAGAGGGGAAGTTTGCGGGGTGAAATGTGACTTCGTGCTCTAGGGCACAGGACGGTGACACAGGAGGAGGACTCGGCCCGGGTGCCATTGTGCGCTCTCCCAGGCCTCGGCGACGCTTTCAGCGGTCACACACATTGAATTATGAATGGGTTTTTCCCCACATCCTAAGTGGGGTTCTTGTTTTCTCTGCACACCCTCCGCGCATGATCTCTCCTCCTCCTCCTCCCTCTCCTCTGCTCCTCTTTGCTTCCTCCTCCGCATCATCATCACCATCACCATCACTCCCCACTCATCATCATCATCACCATCAGCATCACCATCTCCATCCCACGATCACTCACCATCATCGGCATCGAACGATCATCATCATCATCATCATCATCATCATCATCATCATCATCATCATCATCATCATCATCATCATCATCATCATCATCATCATCATCATCATCATCATCATCATCATCATCATCATCATCATCATCATCATCATCACTCGCTGACTTAAGGCCTGAATATGGAGGAAGTATCAGGCGGGAGCCTCGTCTGTGAGTGAATTGTGAGGAAGTCTCAGGCGGGAGCCCCCTCCCTATGGGGCCCGCACTTCATGTTCGAATCCGAGCGGGTCATCCGCAACGTGCAACTGTCGTCACTTTTGGGCTCTTGAGACCTGAATATGGAGGAAGTCTCGAGCGGGAGCCTCGTCTGTGAGTGAATTGCGAGGAAGTCTCAGGCGGGAGCCCCCTCCCTATGGGGCCCGCACTTCATGTTTGAATCCGAGCGGGTCATCCGCAACGTGTAACTGTCGTCACTTTTGGGCTCTTGAGGCTGGAATATGGAGGAAGTATCAGGCGGGAACCTCGTCTGTGAGTGGATTGTGAGGACGTCTCAGGCGGGAGTGAGTGAATGGGGCCCCTCACTTCTCAGGCGGGAGCCCCCTCCCTATGGGGCCCGCACTTCATGTTCGAATCCGAGCGGGTCATCCGCAACGTGCAACTGTCGTCACTTTTGGGCTCTTGAGACCTGAATATGGAGGAAGTCTCGAGCGGGAGCCTCGTCTGTGAGTGAATTGTGAGGAAGTCTCAGGCGGGAGCCCCCTCCCTATGGGGCCCGCACTTCATGTTTGAATCCGAGCGGGTCATCCGCAACGTGTAACTGTCGTCACTTTTGGGCTCTTGAGGCCTGAATATGGAGGAAGTATCAGGCGGGAGCCTCGTCTGTGAGTGAATTGTGAGGAAGTCTCAGGCGGGAGCCCCCTCCCTATGGGGCCCGCACTTCATGTTTGAATCCGAGCGGGTCATCCGCAACGTGCAACTGTCGTCACTTTTGGGCTCTTGAGATTGAATATGGAGGAAGTCTCGAGCGGGAGCCTCCTCTGTGAGTGAATTGTGAGGAAGTCTCAGGCGGAAGCTTCCTCCCCATGGGGCCCGCACTTCATGTTCGAATCCGAGCGGGTCATCCGCTCATCACTTTTGGGCTCTTGAGACCGGAATATGGAGGAAGTCTCGAGCGGGAGCCTCGTCTGTGAGTGAATTGTGAGGACGTCTCAGGCGGGAGCCCCCTCCCTATGGGGCCCGCACTTCATGTTCGAATCCGAGCGGGTCATCCGCAACGTGTAATTGTCGTCACTTTTGGGCTCTTGAGGCCTGAATATGGAGGAAGTATCAGGCCGGAGCTTCGTGTGAATTGTGAGGAAGTCTCAGGCGGGAGCCCCCTCCCTATGGGGCCCGCACTTCATGTTTGAATCCGTGCGGGTCATCCGCAACGTGCAACTGTCGTCACTTTTGGGCTCTTGAGACTTGAATATGGAGGAAGTCTCGAACGGGAGCCTCGTCTGTGAGTGGATTGTGAGGAAGTCTCAGGCGGGAGCCCCCTCCCTATGGGGCCCGCACTTCATGTTCGAATCCGAGCGGGTCATCCGCAACGTGCAATTGTCGTCACTTCTGGGCTCTTGAGACTTGAATATGGAGGAAGTCTCGAGCGGGAGCCTACGGCCCAGCCCGAAGGTTTGTCCCGACGGCTTCGCGATCTAGCCGTCGGCAGACGCGCGCGCGCGCTGGCCGAGGCGGCGACGGCGCTGAGGAAAATGGATTTGCTTGCCCCGACGAGGGGGAAGGGGAGGTGCACATGGAGAAAAGACAGGGGGATGAGGAGGGAAGGGGCATGGGGGAGGCCGACGACGAGGAGGAGGTGGCACGAGAGGAGGAGGAGGAGGAGGAGGAGGAGGAGGAGGAGGAGGAGGAGGAGGAGAAAGAGGAGGAGGAAGAGAAATAGAAGGGGGAAGAGAGGGCAGTGCAGGGGGCGAGAGGAGAGGGTGTCCGCCAGGGGGAGGAGGAAAGGGCAAAGGGTGAGCTAAACAGATTCTCGTGTGGGGTCCTACCGTCGGAGTAATCGGAGATTATACGATGTTGGACTGTTGGGGCAAATGGAAGAAGTTCTCCAGTGCGACCCTACCTAGGAGTTGGAACCCCTAGGAAAGCAGCATTAGTAGTAACAGTAAAGCTAAGCTAAAGCTAAGAAAAAGAGATGTTAAAGCTAAGCCAAAGCTAAACTAAAGCTAAACTAAGGCTAAGCTAAGGCTAAACTAAAGCTAAGCTAAAGCTAAGCTAAAGCTAAGCTACAAGCTAAGCTAATACTAAGCTAACGCTAAGCTAGAGCTAAGCTAACGCTAAGCTAAAGCTAAGCTGGAGCTAAGCTGAAGCTAAGCTAAAGCTAAGCTGAAGCTAAGATGAAACCGAGCTAAAGCTAAGCTGAAGCTAAGCTAGAGCTAGGCTAAAGCTAAGCTGAAGCTAAGCTAGAGCCAAGCAGAGCTAAGCTAGAGCGAAGCTGAAGCTAAGCTGAAGCTAAGCTAAAGCTAAGTTAAAGCTAAGCTAGAGCTAAGCTAAAGCTAAGCTAGAGCTAAGCTGAAGCTAAGCTAACGCTAAGTTAGAGCTAAGCTAAAGCTAAGCTAAAAGTAGCTGAAGCTAAGCTAGAGCTAAGCTAAAGCTAAGCTAGAGCTAAGCTGAAGCTAAGCTGAAGCTAAGCTAGAGCTAAGCAAAGCTAAGCTAGAGCTAAGCTGAAGCTAAGCTGAAGCTAAGCTAAATCTAAGTTAAAGCTAAGCTGAAGCTAAGCTAAAGCTAAGCTAAAGCTAAGCCAAAGCTAAGCTAAAACTAAGCTAAAGCTAAGCTCAAGCTAAGCTAAAGCTACGCTGAAGCTAAGCTAAGCTGGATGAACCCAGGGGGCGCAACTGGGGGAACCGCGGGGCGGGGACTGGGGGAACCGCCCGGGGCGCTTTCCACTGCCCGGCCCCTTTAAGCTAGAGAGTAAGAGCCCTTCTAGGCAGAGCCTAGGTAGGGAAAAACGGGGATTGGAGGACCCGCGGTGATAAAAAAGACAGGTGGATGAGGAATCCTAGGAGAACCAACAGGTCCGAGGCCCTGATCGTGATTATGGAGGGAGGGAGGGAAGGGAGAAGGAGGAGGCAGGAGGAGAAAGCAGGTAGAGCAGGATTATATCATCAATTTGAGACCACAACGGTGGTGGAGGAGTGATGGAAAGGAAAAGGCGGAGGAGGAGCTGGAGGACCATTGTAAAACCAGAACGCGTTAACGATTTAACAATATAACCCTCCCTCCAATTTCCCCGTTCATAGGTCCCGGATATATAGTTTGCGATATATAGAATGTCGTTGCGGCAAGTGGCCCATTAGAAGACAACCATATGAGAATCCTCTATATTGCCGGACCACCGTTCTTGGAACCTTAACGCCGCGGATCAATGCGACTGTTGCGTCCTGACAATTTAGATCGTGCCGGAACATTCCTGAAACGTAAACACTGCGAATCAACGTAATTGTCGCGTCCTGACAGTCCTGAACCGTGCCAAAACATGTATCGCTGGATTTCAACCATCCGAATCCTTGGATCTGCTGCGATTGTTTAAGACGAGTGCGCGCGGCGCTAGTACGAGAGCCACATTTTGAATGCCACTTCCCCTTCATCTTTGAAACGGTGGCAAACTGTAATACTAATGTATTCGTTTTTTTGTTACTTCAATATATATGCATATATATATAAAAATACGTGTATATATACATATACCGCATAGACCACCCTTCGGGTGATAAGGAGGTGAGGGGGGGGAGGGACCAACGTCGCACTCGATTGATTTCACTATCGAACTCACTACCGATCTCACAATCGATCTCAATCGATAGATCTCACAATCGATCTGACGATCGATCTCACAATCAATCCAACAATCGATCCCACAATCGATCTCACATTCGGTCTCGCTATTGATCTCACAATCGATATCACAATCGATCTCGCATTCGATCTGACTATCGATCTCACTATCAAACTCACGATCGATCTCATTATCGATCTCACATTCGGTCTCACTATCGATATCACAATCGAAATCACAATTGATCTCGCATTCGGCCTCATTATCGATCTATCTATCGAACTCAGTTTCGATCTCATTATCGGTCTCACTATCGATCTCACTATCGATATCACAACCGAACTCACAATCGATCTCACATCCGGTCTCATCATGCATCTCACTATCGATCCCACAATCGATCTCATTACCGATAGTGATCTCACTACTAACTCAATCGATCGATCTCACAATCGATTTGACTATCGATCTCACAATAGATTTCACAATCGATCTCACATTCGGTCTCACTATCGATCTCACTATCGATATCACAATCGATCTCACAATCGATATCCCAGCCGGTTCACAATCGATCTCACTATCGATCTCATTATCGATCTCACATTCGGTATCACAATCGATCTCACAAGGGATCTGACATTCGATCTCACAATCGATACCACTACCGATCTCACTATCGATCATCAAAACAAAACATCAACATCGTCATCATCATCACCATCATCATCAATATCATCACCATAATCGGGACACCGACGGGGCACCGGCGGAACACCGCGGGGCCCCGGCCGCCCAGAAGGGAGACATTTGGTCCGGCCGCGCCTCAGCCACACGGGACACCAGCGGGACACCGGCGGGACACCGCGGGCCCCCGGCCGCCCGGAAGGGAGACATTTGGTCCGGCCGCGCCTCAGCCACAGGAGACTTTCTCTCGCCCGCCCACGCAGCTTCGCCTCGCCCGCACGCACGGCACGCACGAACACGAGACCGAAATCGATTTCCCGGTAGGGGGGCTCTCCGTTCCACTTCGATCTCACCCCCATCACCTCCGATATCTGTGTGTGTGCGCGCGACGCTATGTTGAGAGCCACATGTTGAAAACGGCCCGCCCTCCACCCTTAAGAAGCTCTTGCACCGTTTCGAGGCGGGATGTGCGCGGCGCTGAGGCGAGAGCCACAGGTTGAAAACCTTTTGTCCTCCGTCCGCGGAGTTCTTGCAAATTTTCACGGTGAATTTGCGTTTCGCTGGGGCGAACGCCACATGGTCGTAACCACTTGTCCTCCATCCTGGAAAGTGCTACCAAAAATGTTTAAGGCGAACGTGCTCCCGAAGCGTTGGCCGCTTCAGCGATCGGCGGCCATGGGCCGCCGTCAGCCGCTGGCCGCCGTCGGCCGCGTCTGCGAACGGGCCGCCGCTGTCGGCCGCGTCTGCGGGCGGGCCGCCGTCGGCCACTCCCCAAACGTCGGCTTCCGCGGGGAAATTCCAGTTGAAAGGCTCCAGGCACGCGATCATCAGGCCCACGGGATGGTTACCATTGCGCCTGGCGCTATGAGTACAGCCACAGTTTGAGAAGGACCCGCCCTCCGTCCGTGAAGCTGCTGCACAGTCCGTGCTTCGGGGTCATACCTTGGTGGAGACGCCCCATGCGAAGTGCCCGTCCCGCCCTGCCAACACGTCCGGGGGGCGAGGAGGAGGAGGAGGAGGAGCAGCAGCAGGGATGGAGAAGCAGGAGGAGGGAGGGAGGTAGGGAGGAGGGAGGAAAAGGAGCAGAAAGGAGAAGGGAGAAGAAGGAAAGAGGAGGCGGAGGAGGAGGAGGAGGAGGAGGAGGAGGAGGAGGAGGGTGGTGTGGAATGAAGTGTCGCGGCTAGGCGAGAAGGATGTGCTTGAGTGAGCTTCAGATGGATGTCGTGACGGACCCCGTTCGGCGCAAGTGACCTAGCGGCTTGCTTGTGGACTACCGCTGTGTAACAATCATCATCGATCCGTTTTCGTGCACGTTCTCCTCGGGCATGTGCATGGTAGCGGAGCGAGGTCGATGGCGGCAGTTGCAGCATCTCCCGCACATCCCGAAGAGCCGTTCTTGGAGTTTAGACACCACAGGATCGTCACCAGTGGTTCAACTTGAACCCATCAAGGTTCAGCGCGTTAGGTGGGGTGACTTACTATGGTGGTGCTTACAGTAATGTAAATACAGATTGAGAGCCAACTATGAGAGGTTGCGAAAGTCCATAGAAAGACAAAGAGCAGGGGGGAGTCAGGGCTGTCACACATGAGGACAGCTATGGACTGTTTCTCATAACCCACCACATAAACTCTCTACTAGTCATCGTCAACCACAGCAGGTACGGTGACGAGGGAGGGGGGAGGAGGCAGAGGAGGAGGAAGGAAGGAAGGAGAGGAGACGCGGGGCACCGTCTCTTCAAAACGAGGACCCAACACCACAGGATGGTTGGGAAAAAACACCAGCCCCCGTAGCCACTAGTTCGAGCCTTTGGTTCAAGGCCGTTGGAGTTGAGGCTTTGCTTCGCTCTGTTGGGCGTGCCCAGCAGCTCTGCTATCGCAGGGCCGGTCCGTCGGACCGACATCGAGCGCTCGCTCAGCAGCCTCCAGGGCAGGATGGGAAGCTGCGTCGAGGCCTTCATTCCGCACGGCGATCATGTGGACGATGTGGTCAATGAGGACGCCGGCGAGAATGGCTCCTTGACCACATCTAAAGACAGAGAGACGCTAGCTCATATAGGATAGCGCTCAGACGTGGATGGACTGCGAGCCGTCGCTGTGCTGAGCGTCATCGCCTACCACATGAACACAAGATGGCTGCCAGGAGGCTACGCCGGAGTCGATATTTTTGTTGTCATTTCTGGATATGTTGTGACTGCGTCTCTGCTCAATCACTCGTGCGGCAGCTGCTCGGAGTTCTTCTGCGGTTTCTACGCCCGCAGGGTCAAAAGGCTGACCCCAGCGTTGCTAATTTCCACGGCGTCCTGTGGACTCTACATCGCCATCATGGTACCGCCCATGACTCCTCACCTGGAGGACAACTTCGCAGCCGCCGCCAGTGCGCTCTGCGGCGCTTCCAACGTGTTCTTCGCGCGGCTCTCCCAGGCGACTGGCGACGGCTACTGGGACGAGATGACGGGGCAGAGCAGGAACGCCGCCAATCCATTCGTGCACACCTGGTCTCTTGGCGTAGAAGAGCACTTCTACCTCGTGTTTCCCCTTCTCGTCTTGCTCGCGCACGGCTGCCGAGTTGTTGCCTCGGCTGGCTGCCGTCCGCCATGGCCGGCATCCCTCATCATCTTTGGGGCGTCCGTTGTGCTCTCCGGTTGTGCATCGCGGGTGATGACCGTGCACGTCCCAGACATGGCCTTCTATCTGCTGCCCGCGCGCTTCTGGGAACTGGCGGTCGGCGCCATCCTCGCCGACGCCCACGCTGCTGGGAGGCTGGACATGACAGCGGACGGGAGAAGCGCAGCAGTGGTGGGGGCTCAGGACCTGGTGGCCACACTGCTAATAGCCTCGAGCCTCGTGCTTGACACGGTCGGCGTGGGCTTCCCCTTTCCCGGCGCGCTGCTTCCCGTGGCGGGCGCCGCTTGCGTCATCATGGCAGGGCGGTGCGAGTCGAGCGCCCTGAGACGCGTCTAAGGGCAGGAGCTGCCAGTGTACATCGGCAAGCTGTCCTATCCTCTCTACCTGTGGCACTGGCCTGTTCTTAAGTTCGCTGAGGGGACTGTGTTGGACGATATGCCCGTCGCCTGGAGGTACCTCCTGCTGCTCTCAGTCATGCTCGCGCTGGCCTCTGCGACGTACCACGCGGTGGAGGGGCCTTTCCGGTCTTGGCGGCCCAAGGCCCACTGGCACGCGTTCGCCATGCTGCTGCCCGCCGCTGTCGTCTTGGCGGGCTGCATGCTCGCACTTCGCGGCCCGCTGTTCGGCAAGCTGAGCGTGTCGGCAGGAAACTCAGAGGTCCCTTCCGCAACCATGGCCTCGACCTCGAGCAGCCCAGGGGAACACGTCCACCTCGAGCAGCTCGCCCCCGCGAGCCATGACCTGGCTTTAACAGCTTGCGCGTGCGGCAGGGTTCCTGAATTCACGCATGCGCCAGCGACTGCAAACGATGGCAGGGATGGTCAGCCGTCTTGCTTGGACATGAGCGGTGGCTCTGAGCTGAACAAGAGCTGCTGGGCCGTCTATCATCGTTGCAGCGGCGATGAATGGTGCGACAATGCGTGCGAGTCTCCAGGGAAAAACTGCACGCAGGAGAAGCGCATGGACGAAGCCTTGATCGAGCTCTTCGACAGAAAGAAGCGGCAGTGCTTATCGCCAGCGACAGGAGCACAGAGGAAGCCCACGATCTTCTTATTGGGTGACTCGCACGCGCTCTTCTTCAAGCATGCTCTGACGCAAGCAGTGAGCGGCAGATTGGAGAGGCCTGACGGCCGGCGCCGCCGACCCTGATCGAAAGGGCTAGGAGTGGGGGGAGGAAACGGAGGATGAGGAGGAGGAGGAGGAGGAGGAGGAGGGAAAGGAGGAGGAGCAGGAGGAGGACGAGGAGGAGGAGGAGGAGGAGGAGGAGAAGGAGGAGGAGGAGGAGGAGGAGGAAGAAGAAGAGGAGGAGGAGGAGGAGGAGGAGGAGGAGGAAGTGCATCCTTCGTGTGCCCGCTCGAAGAAAGTGCGCCCCGGGAGTGTGATATTCTGATTTGGGACGTGCTCCCTGAAGAGGAAGAAGTGCATCTCGGGCGTGCCCGCTCGAGGAAAATGCGCCCTAGGGGTGGCATTTTGACTCGGGGCCCGCTCCCGGGACGCCTCTGCGGGAGGAGGAGGAGGAGGAGGAGGAGGAGGAGAAGAAGGAGAGGAGCAGGAGGAGGAGGAGGAGGAGGAAAAGGAGGAGGAGGAGGACCAGGAGGAGGAGGAACTGCATCCCGCGCGTGCCCGCTCGAGGAAAGTGCGCCCCGGCGGGCGTCGTATCTGCCCCAGCGCTCCCCTCCCCCCTCCCCCCCCTCCCCCTCTGCGGGGAAGGGATCAAAGGGAAGGGGCTCCCCTTCGACTCCACTACGACGTCGTTTAATTTCGCTTTGGATAGCGCACTTGAGGAGGAGAGCCCTGGGAAGGGGAGAACGGAGACGACGGAGACGACGAGTCGAACGGAGAAGCCCCTCACACACGCCGACAGGGTCGGCGGATTTGATGTGCGTTCGTGGGCGAGCGTCCACTTCATCGATGGCTTTTGGGACTCCAATCTTGATCCCCAGAGAGGATATCCAAGTAAAAGGTATCATACCGAGCTTCGGGAGCTGATTGCAGACGATCTAGTGCCTGGCGACATCGTGGCCATCGGCCTATTCATAGATGGGGTGTTCGGCTCACAAATTGACATTGCCACGTCCTTCCTGAACGATTGGGTAACAGTTGCCGACAATAAAGGCGCCAGAGTCCTCATGCTTGGGGATCATCACTCGTGCATTCAATATTGGCCAGACGTCCCCACGAAGTGCAGTAGTCTTGGGTTGCCGGCAGATCTGCGCAGTCATTGTTTTCCTAAAAAGCAGGACGTGATGAACTCGGCGATCACCTTGAGGCTTCGGGAGTTGCAAAGGACTTCCAGCCTGTTGCTCTTTGAGTACAGGAACCTCTTCTGTCACGGGGACATTTGCATGCCCTTCATTCCTGGCAGCAACGTCATGGCGTACCAGGATTCCCATCACTTGACGGCAGCTGGCTCCCTGTACGTGGCGCCCTTCCTCTGCGAGTTCTTGAAGAAGCATGGGTTCCTTCAGAACGACAGCGGTATACAGTAGATACGTACCAGACAGGGCGGAAGCAGCTCTTTAAAAATGCCGTCATATGTCTCGCTTGCGTCGTTCCCCACTTTCCTCTTCCTCGCCCGCCTCCCTCCCTCTCTTTTCACAAACTGCGCAGTTGCCCTTCGCACGTCGTTGGAAACAAAGGCTACCACGACTGTGCCCCGCGGCACTGTGCAGCTTTCCGTTTTTCTTTGCGTGCCGGCACGCATGTCATCAGTCAGAGTGAGGGGGCCGAACGATCATTCATTGTCCCTGAGTGCGTGGCTGAAATGGGATTCCGCGGTGCGGATTCGTGTTGTTGTTGTTTGTTGTTGTTTGTTGTTGTTGTTTGTTCTCGTCGTCCCACCCGCAACCCGCCCCGCGATCCACCCGCGACCCACCCCGCGACCCACCCCGCGACCCACCCGCGACCCACCCGCGACCCACCCGCGACTCACCCCGCGACCCACCCCGCGACCCACCCCGCGACCCACCCCGCGACCCACCCCGCGGCCCACCCCGCGATCCACCCCACGACCCACCCGCGACCCACCCGCGACCCACCCGCGACCCACCCCGCGACCCACGAGGGAAAAGCCAAAAAACTACAGTCAGAAATGGCATTCGTGGATGACCCAATGAAAGCTCAACAAGACACGATGGACCAGGTTACCAAGAAAGCGGAATCAATTGCGGAGAGCAAAACAAGACAGGTGGAGGAGGACAGAAGTTTGTTAGCGAATACAAGGCTACGCAGCAACTCAAGATCACGCGGGGGACATGGCAAATTTCCGTGGGTGGAACGAACATTTGGTGAACGCATTGGCGTAGGTCAGCCCTTCTGATGGCCAGGCGTTGAATTAGCTTGGCGAAGGACCCAACCGTATGCAGTTATGAGCACCGCTGTTGTATGCACCGCATTCGGACGAGTTCCATGTAGGGCCACGAAACGTGTGAGGAGTGTGCAAAAATGGGCGTGGTGGGCGCATGCGAACGCAGCCCTTGGGGCCGTCGGTGGGGCCTCCTATGGGGCCATGAAATGCGTGATGCCAAAATTTGCGCGGTGGGCGCATGCGAACGCAGCCATTGGGTCCGTCGGTGGAGCTCCCTGTGGGGCCACGACACGTGTGAGGGGTTACCAAAATGGGCGTTGTGGGCGCATGCGAACGCTGGCATGTGGGTCCCCGGTGGAATTCCCCATGGGGCCATGAAACGTGCGATGGGATGTGCCCAACTGGTTGCGGTGGGCGCATGCGAACGCAGCAATTGGGGCCGTCGATGGAGTTCCTTTTCGGGGCTACGAAACGTCTGAGGGGTGTGCCAAGATGCGCGCGGTGGTCGGTGGAGCTCCGTACGGGGCCACGAAACGCGCGAGGGGCCTGGCAAAATGGGTGCGGTGGGCGCATGCGAACTCTGCCACTGGGACCGTCGGTGGAGCTTACATTTTGGGGCCACGAAACGCGCGAGGGGTGTGCCAAAATTGGTGCGGCAAGCGCATGCGAACGCAGCCACTGGGGCCTCCGGTGGAGTTCCTCATGGGGCCACGAAACGTGTGAGCAGCGTACCAAAATGGGCGCGTTGGGTGCATGCGGACGCTGCAATTGGGACCGTCGGTAGAGTTCCCTATAGGGCCACGAAACGTGTGAGCGGTGTGCCAAAATGGGCGCGGTGGGCGCATGCGAACGTTGGCAGATTGGGCCTTCGGTGGAGCTCCTTCTAGGGCCACGAAGCGTCTTAGGGGTGTGCCGAAACAATACATGCGTATGGCAGAGGCCAGGGGCAAGGATGGAGGGAGGGGAGGGGGAGGAGGAGGAGAGGAGAGGAGAGGGACGTGGCGAGGACCCAACACAACAGGACGGTTGGGAAAAGCATGGCAGACAAGCTCGAAGCGATAGGTGGAGCGTTACATGACGAAGACGACGACATAGTCAGAATCTTGAATGGAAGGTCAACCGCAATGGAATACACCGAATCCAATCAGTCCAAGCAGCAAGACCATGATAGTAAGTGGTGCTCTGAAGGAGCCGAAGACTCTGTACATGAGCTAGATGAGGGCACGCGGTGCGCCTTGAACGACAAGGTTGAAGTGGATTCCTGAGGACAGTTGAGGGGACTCCGAGAAGGAGACGGGCTGCAGGCGTATCAAAACATATATCTATATATATACACACATAGCATTCCGCAGTTGCCGGAGTCACCCCATCGGCCAAAATGAGCCTAGCCATGATCCCAGGCGAGCCAGAGAAAATTAGTTAGGTGGCAACGCTGTTGTGAACAGAGGGCGGCACTGATGAAGACGCTGGAAAGCACGGCCCAGCACGCTCGTTAAATCTACCCTTCAGGGCTACAAAATGCAGAACCGTCATGGCGAATGCCGGCGGCTGGTTCGAAGGGTGGCATCAGGAGTGCTTCGAGACACCTCATTCATTCGCGCTGGAAAACTACCAAAACTTGCACGTTGAATTCGAGGATTGGGCGCGCAAGGAAGGGCTGGACGCTGACAACAGGAATCACGGCGCCATGGATACTGGGGGAGTAAGCGGGGCCAACGTTGAGCAATTTAACACGTGGGACATGCATGAAGGTTGGAATATGGAAGGGCATATGGATGAAGAAGGTCATCGGTGGGCCAACGAAACCAACTGGGGACAAGACGAGGAGACTGAATGAGGAGAAGGTGTGAATAAAGGCAAGGGGAAAGGAGGGAAGGAACCTAAATGTGGGAAGCGCGGTTACTTCGGACACAGAGCCGCGAATTACCGGAAAAGAAGAGGTATGGACAATAAAGGTAAGGGCGCATGCAGAGAAGGAAAGATGGCATGCGGACAGTACGTTAAGGAATGATACCAGAGAAAAACCCAATCAGGGCTATAGGGCTAGGGGGCTATAGGGCTATATAGCTATAGGGCTATAGAGCTATAGGGCTATAGAGTTGTAGGGCTATTGGGCTATAGGGCTCAGGGCTATAGGGCTATAGGGCACCCCCGGGCACCCCGGGGCACCCCCGGGCACCCCGGGGCACCCCCGGGCACCCGGGCACCCCCGGGCCCCCCCCGGGCACCCGGGCCCCGGGCACCCGCGGGCACCCGGGCGTGCAGCGAAAATCGGCGACAAACCTAACCATATGAATCCGCTAGGACCCCTACAGAGGCAAGCTCTGATTGGGAAAAAAGAGTCAAGGAAAAGGGAATACTTACGGCAAGTACCGCGGGAAAGGGCCAGGAGGATGGAGAAGCGGAGAGTCGTCCCCGTGCGCGATCGAGAATGCGACGTGCGCGGCAAGAAGTGGCGCATCGTGGCTCAGCGCACCGAAAAGGAAACGAACGGGGTGGAGCAGCCCAGGGAATCATGGCCAGAATTCGAAAATGACGAAGTGTCCGCCGGGGCGCAAGTTATCTCCCTGGGGAGGCCGCCAGGATGTCATGGGGCGGATGCACCCTGCGATTCCCAGGAGTTAGACGGATGGAGCAGGAGTTTTCGGTGTAGGCGAGGGCCTCCCCCCCGTTCGAAATGATTCCGTCTTTAGATCTCGTCGCCTCATCTCTTCCATCCTCCTCCACCTCCTCCTCCGCCTCCTCCTTTTCCTCTTCTCCCCTGCCTCTTACTTGGCTCCCTCCTGCATGCCAGCCTGCCTTCTACTTCGCCGTCCTCCCTGTGACCTCGCCATGATTGGGGGGCTGCGAACTGCGGCACAGTCGCCACTTTCGACGGCTTCTGGGCTGTTCAGCACAGCGACGTCCTATGCGGATTCAGATTAGACTTCGCCATTCCTGGCGGGGTGCGAACCGCGGAGTTGTCGCCTTTCGACTGCTGCGAGGGTGGGGTGGGGCAGAACAGTGACGTCCTACGCGGACTCAAATTGGGCTTGGCCATCCCTGGGGGGCTGCGAACTGCGAAGCTGTTGCCACTTTCGAGGGCTGCTAGGGGGGCCAGCACAGTGACGGCATACGCGGATGCATTTTAGACCTCGCCATCCTCAGGGGGCTGCGAACTGCGAAGTTGTCGCCACGTTCAGGGGCTGCTGGGGGGGGGTCAGCACAGTGACGTCCTACGCAGATGTGGCGCGAGCTATGTGGTGCACCCAGCGCACGGGGCGCACACGAGGTACCCACGGGTGGCCACCAGCTGGGTACCAGGCGACATTGGGGCACGTCCACCCAGAGCGCGCGGTGTGCACGAAGTGACCGCGGCCGGCCACAAGCTTGGCACCAGGCGAATCCCACGCAGACCCACCCGATCATTCCGGTAAGAGGGTGAAGAACCCTTGTCGCGAGCATGGCTTTGGGGGGAAAGCGAGTCCAGACGTCGGAGTTCTTGGAAGGGTGAGAGTGCTCCTCCCCCCCTCCCTCGCCCCCCAGCTCCTCTCGAGGACGCGCGTGGGTCCGCGGCGGGCCCCGTTTCGATGCAGCCTCGGCGCGCTCCGTCGCCAAGTCTGGCGGCAGTGGCGCCGTGCTTCGGGGGGTCTGCTCCCCGATCCGTGGACGTGGCGCCCACGCGCCATGTCAGCGTGCGCCCGGCCCTCGCCCCCTCCGCCCCCGCGCGAGGGCGGCAACAGCTGCCCCGACGGCTCCGTGCCCCTGACGGAGCCGCAGTGCCGCGAGCTCCCCTACCACTTCGGGGGCGTGCTGAGCGTGCCGCTCACGGTGTCGCCAGGGGGCGGCCCGTTTCCCCGAGCGGCGGCGTCGTTGTCTTCGGCGTCGTCGCCGTCGGTTGCGTCGGTGTCGTCGAGGGGGGGTCGTCGTCGTCGTGTCGCCGTCGCCGCCGAAGCTCTGCCAGAGCGGCGGGGCGCTGCTGCGTACGTCGCTGGGCCTCGAGATTAGTTTGGGCCGTCTGCGCCTCGCCGGTCTCGTCTCATCGCCGCCCTCCGTTCCGCGCCCGATTGGGTCGGAGGCAGGGAGGAGGAAGAAAGCAGCAGCAGCAGCAGCAGCAGCAGCAGCAGGAGAAGGGTGAGGAGGGAGGCAGGGGAGGGTGGGAAGGAGGGAACAGGGAGCAGGATGAGGGGGGTGAGTGAGGGAGGAGGGGAGGATGGAGGGAGGACGCGGAAGAAAGAGGGATGAGGAGGAGGAGGAGGAGGAGGAGGAAAAGGAAGGAAATAAGGAGGACACAGTTGGATACATTTGGAGGGCCCCGAAATCCACTCACCCACGGCGAAGTGCAAAACACCCGCACTAGGCACCGCGGTCCCTGGTGCTGCATGGCCCCGCAGGGCCGCATGAGCGCGCAGCCCTCCAGGCGACGGGGTTGCAGCTCTCAGCCCCCCCCAACGGCACACTGCCGCAACCCACCTGCGCAGGCCTTGGAGCAAGACGCATGCCATCAACACTGCCGTGCGTGTGGGGCGGTCTCGGCCACCTGGAAGACAGCAAAAGACATGGGACAATAGTTGTTTGTTGCGTCGGGAGGGCCTCTTGGGGGGGGTGTGCCTTGGCTCGTCTTCGGGCGTCTGGTGGGCGTCTCGGGCGGCTTGGGGCTCTCGCAGGGCCGTTTGGCCACCCTCCTGATTGCGTTGGGCCCGCCGGCTTGGCCTGACAGTGACGCCGAGGAGGTCCGGAAGTGCCGGGGGATCCTTCGCGAGGGCGTCCATGGTGCCCTCGGAGCCGGGGATCCGTAGGGTCCGGCTGGGGGGTGGCGGCCCCAGGTTCGCAAACATATGTTCAGAGGAATCCAGTGCGTCTTTGGTTCCTTCTCGGTGATGCCCTCCTCTTCGGTGGGCGCCACCTATCCACCTGCACACCTGTCCTGGTCTTGCCCAGCCTGGAATAAGAAAATACCCAGGACCAGCGCGCGCGCATGCCGCGCATAGCCAGGAGGGTGGGTGGCTGGCGTCGTCAAGCCTTCAACTCCCCCTCCGTCAGATTGGGGCTGATGCTAGGGTGAAAAGAAGGGAGGGAAGGGAAGGAGGAGGAGGAGGAGGAGGCGGGGGAGGAGGGGGTGGGCGATACCGCCATGAAGCAAACGGGTACTGAGGAAGCGGGTCCTGGAGGTTTTTCTGTGTGTTTCGGGGTCGGGGGCCCACCACGGGCCCCTGGACCGTCCAAACGACTCGGGATGAACAGCTGCTCCTGGGGCAAAGCCCCCTGGGGTCCAGGACTAATTCCACTCAGCGCCCGCTTCCCTCATGTTTATGCCAGGCTAGGAAGGAGTGCCAAGGCAAGAGATAACAGAATGAGGGATTTAGGATGGTGGGTTGATAGCAGCAGCGTGCAGGTGAAAGCACATCAAGAGATCACATGAGATCAGAGGAAGAGTAAGGATGTGGATGGGCCTGTTTTGCCTGTCGCCTCCAGGTGGATAGTCCTGACGAACCAAGAGGCGCCTCCGAACGCAGGGTTGAAGTGAATGCCGAGAAGGGGCGGACGTGGGAGCGGGAGTTGGGTGGAGGGGGAATGCAACCATATAGTTTCAGTATTGTTTGTTGATGTGACCCCGTGAGCGCGCGCTCCGCGTTTGCCTTGCTACGCGGCCACCCTCCTCCTCTTTCTCCTCCTCTTTCTCCTCCTCTTTCTCCTCCTCCTCCTCCTCCTCCTCCTCCTCCTCCTCCTCCTCCTCCTGCTCCTGCTCCTGCTCCTCCTCCTCCTCCTCCTCCTCCTCCTCCTCCTCCTGCTCCTCCTCCTCCTGGCTCGGCCGGCAGGCGAGGCGAGGTTCAGAAATGGTCGTTAAGCTTGTCCAGGGCGGTTTCGTGGCAGGTCTTGCGCACGGAATATGTAGGGTGTGTCGCAGAAGGTGTGGAAAGGTTGGCCTCCTGGTCGAGGTCGTAGAGAAGAGCGATGCTGCGAACCGCATGATGGCACTGGCGCTCCTCCTCCTCCTCCTCCTCCTCCTCCTCCTCCTCCTCCTCCTCCTCCTCCTCCTCCTCCTCCTCCTCCCTTCGCCAGGCGGCAGGGCCCGCCCAGGAGCAGCGTGGAGCTTCCTATAGGGCGAGACCGCGGAGCTCCACGGCTTCCGCCCTGGTCGGCAGGCCGCGCCCGCGCTGCGCGCAGCAGGCGGGCCGCGCAGCGACGCCGCACGGGCCTGGTGGCGGCGGTGTTCCCAGTGGGATCTTGGCATCGCTCGGGCGCGTGCATTTTTCCTCCGGCGAGGACCGTCGAAGAGCTTCCTTGATCATGTGGCAAAAAACCGCGCACGAAACCGAAAAAAGCCCAGGGAATGGACATCCGAGCGATGGCCAGGGATCGCCGCAGGAGGCACGACGCGGCGCCCTCCCAGGGCTGCGGGCCAGGAGCTTGACGAGCACCGCGGCGCAGGAAGGCCCCGATTGGTCCTCGGTGGGCCGCTTTGTGGTTCCGCAAGACCAGACGGCACGGCCGTGTATGTTCGTCGTCGCAGGGGGCGAGGGATGAGGACGGCCGTGAGGGCATCGCCCCGTCTTGTCCTTGTCGTGCCAGGCTGTCGCACAGGCCGGCCCCGTTCTCTCCCCTTCAAGGCAGAGAAGGCTCAACTTGGGGCTCCTTGGGCTTCTTGGGGCAAAGTTTTGGCCCCATTGGATTCTCTTGAGCCCTATTGGGGCCTCTGTGGGGCCGCATCGGAATCTGAGAGTTCCATCATCGGACCCCATGCTGAGGCGATGACAGCCATGAAGAGACGACAGCCTGTCACTGGTTTAGGCTTTAGTTGGAGGTTCCTAGAGGAGCTTCTTCTGCCATCGCGAGACGCCATCGAGATCCATCGATACCGCGCAGCTCCTCGCCTGGCAACCTTCCGCGAACACCTTCAACTTTTCCGTGTGCGGGGCCGCGCGGCGCGAGAGATGCTCGGTTTTGTGGACAGTTGCGGACCTTGTCGGGCCCCGCCGTGGGCTAACGCGCCCCGCCGCGGGCTAACGCATGCGTCTCCACGGCCGGGAACTTTTGGATAGCGTGTCGCTCTGCCAGTTCTGGCCCACCACGCTGTCCACGTCGCGGCCCACTGGCGTCAAAGTTGCAAGCTTTTCCCGACCTCCCGCCCCGCGAAGCGGAGTGACACGTTATCCATTTGCAGGGCATAGCGTGTCGCCAGGGCCGCCGCGGCGACACGCTATCCAACAGATCCCGACCGTAGCCTTTGGCAACCACCAGCATAATCGTCAGAACGACCGCCAATACAACCACCAGCACAACCGCAACCTGCACAACCATCACCTGTACAACCACAAGCAACCACCAGCACAACTACCACCAGCACAAACGCCAGCACAACCACCAGCACAAACACCACCAGCACGACAACCAGCACCGACACCAGCACAACCACCAGCCCAACCATCACCAGCATAATCACCAGCACAGCCACCACCCGCACGACCACAAGCACAACCCCCAGCACAACCACCGCCAGGACAACCACCATCACAACCATCACCGCCACCAGCACGACCACCGCCAGCACAACCACCATCACGGCCACCACCACAGCTTGCACAACCACCAACACAACCACCACCACAACAACCACAACCAGCACAACAACCACCAGCGCAACCACCACCAGCGCACCCACCAGCACAGCCACCAGCACAACCACCAGCACAACGACAAAGGCAATCGCCACCAGCACAACGGCCAGCAAAATCGCCAGCATAACCACCAGCAGCACAACACCAACAGGACGACCACCAGCACAACCACCTCAATCACAACCACCAGCACAACCTCCACCAGCACGACCACCAGCACAACCGCCAGTAAAGCCACCAGCATCACCACCACCAGCACGACCGCCACCAGCATAACCACCACCAGCACAACCACCAGCACAACCGCCAGCACAACCACCAGCACAACCACTAGCGCAACCGCCAGCACAACCACCAACAGCACAACCACCATCAGCAGCACAAACACCACAAGCACGACTGTCACCAGCACAACCACCACCAGCGCAACCGCCAGCACGTCCGCCAGCACAGCCACCACCAGCACGACCACAAGCACAACCCCCAGCACAACCACCGCCATGACAACCACCAGCACAACCATCACCACCACCAGCAGGACCACCGCCAGTACAACCACCATCACGGCCACCACCACAGCTTGCACAACCACCAACACAACCACCAACACAACAACCACAACCAGCCCAACCACCAGCACAACAACCACCAGCGCGACCACCACCAGCGCACCCACCAGCACAACCACTGGCACAACGACAAAGGTAATCGCCACCAGTACAACGGCCAGCAAAATCGCCAGCATAACCACCAGCAGCACAACCACCAACAGGACGACCACCAACACAACCACCTCAACCACAACCACCAGCGCAACCACCACCAGCACGACCACCAGCATAACCGCCAGTAAAGCCACCAGCATCACCACCACCAGCACGACCGCCACCAGCATAACCACCACCAGCACAACCACCAGCACAACCGCCAGCACAACCACCAGTACAACCACTAGCGCAACCGCCAGCGCAACCACCAACAGCACAACCACCATCAGCAGCACACACACCACAAGCACGACTGTCACCAGCACAACCACCACCAGCGCAACCGCCAGCACGTCCGCCAGCACAGCCACCACCAGCACGACCACAAGCACAACCCCCAGCACAACCACCGCCATGACAACCACCAGCACAACCATCACCACCACCAGCCGGACCACCGCCAGTACAACCACCAGCACGGCCACACAACCACCACCACAACAACCACAACCAGCCCAAACACCAACACAACAACCACCAGCGCGACCACCACCAGCGCACCCACCAGCACAGCCACCAGCACAACGACAAGAGTAATCGCCACCAGCACAACGGCCAGCAAAATCGCCAGCATAACCACCAGCAGCACAACCACCAACAGGACGACCACCAACACAACCACCTCAATCACAACCACCAGCACAACCACCACCAGCACAACCACCAGCACAACCGCCAGCAAAGCCATCAGCATCACCACCACCAGCACGACCACCACCAGCACAGCTGCCAGCACAACCACCAGCACAACCGCCAGCACAACCACCAGCACAACCACCAGCACAACGGCCAGCACAACCACCAACAGCACAACCACCACCGGCACACACACACACACCACCAGCACAACCGTCACCAGCACAACCGCCACCAGCACAACAGCCACAGCACATCCGCCAGCACATCTGCACGCACAGCCACCACCAGCACGACCACGAGCACAACCGCCTCCAGCACAACCGCCAGCACAACCACCAAGGGGACCCTTTTCCGAATGCCAGCCTGGCACTCACCGCGCTAGACTGCCCATCGGGCGCTGCCGCACCCCGACGTTGGGCAGGGCGCCTGGCGGGGCGGCGCGGGGGGGCGCCGCGCCGCTTCCCGCTGCCGCGCTCGGTCGCGGCAGCGCCGAAGAGCGACCGCGCGCGCGCGGCGGCGCAATGTATCCAGCGCCGGGAGAAGGCTGGGCTGGCCACGGAGAAGAAGAACGGCACGCCTTGCGCCGCGCGGCGCAGGGCGGGCCCCATACCCCGCGTGCCCGAAGGAGGTGCAACGCTTCTCGTGTCGCACACCTCCACCTCCCGCGCGTCGCGCGCGTGACCGCGCCAGCCTCCGCGAATCGCACGCGTGGCGCCCCCCCCCCCCCCCCACAAAAGCATTCGTGCCTCCGCAAAACGCCGCGCGCCGCGCTTCGCCGCATATGCCAAGGGGGCCCTTTCCGAGTGCCCGTCTGGCGCTCACCGCACCAGATTGCCCGTCGGGCGCTGCCGCGCCCCGACGTTGGGTGTGGCGCGCAGCTGGACGGCGCGGCGCTGCTCGAGGGCGGCGCGCCGCTCCCCGCTGCCGCGCTCGGGCGTGGCAACGCCCTCTGACGAACTGGCCGCGCCCGAGCGCGCGGTGCCGCGCGCAGCCGGCAAGAGGCGGGCGCCATCTCGCTCGCCCCGCGCGATGGGGGCGCATCTGCTTGCACTACCTGCGACTCGCCACATTTGCGACGCAGCGGCGTCTGGCCGGGGGCGGGGGTCAGGTCAGCATTAGGATCCTCAGTCTCTTCCAGCTTTGGGGTTGCAGCTCTGCGCTTCAGATCAGACGTCAATCCAGAGCGGGCACCTCTATGTGTGTCATGGTGATTGTTTTCGTGGTGGGCGCGCGAACGTGTCTTTTCAGGAGTGCCGATCATGGCAATTGTGAAGACAGCAGCATTGGCAGCCGCTGCTGACAATCAGCATAAATATGACAATGGTGACGATGATGATGATGATGATGATGATGATGATGATGATGATGATGATGATGATGATGATGATGATGATGATGATGATGGTGATGATGATGATGATGATGATGATGATGATGGTGATGGTGATGGTGATGGTGATGGTGATGGTGATGGTGATGGTGATGGTGATGGTGATGGTGATGGTGATGGTGATGGTGATGGTGATGGTGATGGTGACCATGATGATGATGGTGATGGTGATGGTGATGGTGACGATGATGATGATGATGATGATGATGATGATGATGATGATGATGATGATGATGATGATGATGATGATGATGATGCCGATATTGCTGATGATGCCGATGTTGCTGGTGGTGCTTGTGATGATGGTGATGAGGACGACGGGAGCGACGACGGCGGAGGTTTCGGCGATGCCTTGGTGATCGAAAGCGGATGCAGCCAGCTACGGGGTGGCGTCTGATTCTGCCAGGCTGCTTCTTCCACTACCCGAACTACCACTTCAACAACAATTCCAAGGGCAGCAACCACAGTGAGAGGACGGGCTGCTTTTTTGGGGTGCGGTATTTCGCTGTGGCAGGCGATCGATCCATCGCGTCTGGCCATCCACATTGCTTGCTTCATCTATCATCGGTTTGAGCGTACGTGGGAATGGACGCCGACTATTCCGTGCAAGGTGGCTCTAATGAGTTCACACAAACATGCAAGGACAGAGATTGTGCAGAGCTTGGGCACATGAGCGACATGGGACATGTCTCCATGCCCTCTTGCATAGCACCAGCCTAGCGGAGGATGAGAGGAGAAGGAGGGGTAGGACGACGACGACGACGACGACGACGAGGACGAGGACGAGGACGAGGACGAGGTGGAGGAGAGTGAGGAGGAGGAGAAGGAGGAGGAGAAGGAGGAGGGCGTCGAGGATCGAGGATGGAGGAGGAGGAGGAGGAGGAGGAGGTGGAGGATGGGGAGGAGGAGGAGGAGGAGGAGGAGGAGGAGGAGGAAGGAGGAGGAGGAGGAGGAGGAGGAGGTGGAGGAGAGGAGGAGGAGGAGGTGGAGAGGAGGAGGAGGAGAGGAGGAGGACGACGACGACGACGCGGCGGCGGCCCCTCCAGGGCGGAGCGCGGCGGCCGCCGCGGCCGCGCCGGCGAGGACCCCGTACTGCAGGCGCTGCGACGGCGCAGAGGCGGAGGGAGGCCGCGGGCGCGCGGGGGGCGGCCCTCGGCTTCGGGGGGGGGGCGCCCCGGCCAGGAGGCCTCCTCGTCCTGCCTCCTGTCTCCGCCTTCCCTCCTCCAGATCCCCTTGCAGTACAAGGACATGGGTCGCAAGCGTGTCTTATCTTATCCTCCTCCTCCTCCTCCTCCTCCTCCTCCTCCTCCTCCTCCTCCTCTCCTCCCTCTTGCCTCCTCCTCCTCCTCCTCCTCCTCCCCTTCCTCCTCCTCCTCCTCCTCCTCCTCCTCCTCCTCCTCCTCCTCCTCCTCCCTCTTGCCTCCTCCTCCTCCTTCCCCATTCTTCCTCCTCTCGTTCCTCCTTCTCCATCCCCCGCCTCCACTTCATAGCACTTCGTCCCCCCTGCTCCTCCTCGCCCCTCCTCTCGCCTCCTCCACCTCTTGCGGCTCTCCCCTTTGGGAAGCGTGGGGGAGGAGATGTGGAACGAGGAGCGAGGAGGAGCGAGGAGCCAGGGTAAACGAGGAGCGAGGGTAAACGAGGAGAAGGGGGAGGAGGAGGTGTAAGAGCGAGGAAGTTAAGGAGTAGGCTGTGTAGGAGGACAAGGAACAGGCGGTGCTTCGTCCAGAAAATTTATTGAAAGGCTGGCCCCCCGGCTGTCACAGCGCAGCCGCGAGAAGCGAGGCCTGCGCAGAGCTTCAGGACACTGTCTATCCTAGGGGGGGGGACAACTTCATGCCACGCAATGCGAAGCGAGGTGCGAGCCACTGAGCAAACGCTGGGAATGTAATGCGTATTCGTTCGGCAGGGTTCGGGCAAGTGTGGCGCTGCGTGAGACAACGCGAGGAACAAAATGTAGCGTGCTGGGTGAAGCTGGCTGCGATGAATTAGCCTGTCAGAACATGAGCGATGCATTGTGAATCGTCGGACCATCTTGGTCCCCATCCGCATTGGTTGCTCTGGTGTGTAGGAGTCAATCGTAGTTGTACGTTTAGAGCCGCGGGGAACGATTTCGAGGTGGAAGTTCCAACACTGACCGATGCCCGTTTCGCAGATACCAAGCGCAATGTGGACGGAGTAAGTGGCACAAGTGCGCTGGATCTTGCGCGAGGGAGCGGGAAAGGTGGAAGAGGAGTGTGAGGAGGGGGGTCTCTTGGATTCTCTTGAATTGTTTTTTCAAGCCAGTTGTGACCCTATTGGGGCCATCTCGGGGCCCATTCGGGCCTGGTGGGGTCGATCCGGAGGGTATGATTGCCGTGGTTGGACCACTACGCAATACGATGTTGACGGAACTTGAGGGGCATGACGCATGACGAGGCGTTGGCAATTCAAACTGGCATGGCCCACGACGGGGACGGATGTGCACCAACGTGCTCAACATAAAAGGTGGGCGGTCCACGAAGGTCGGCAGCGCAGCGGAGGCCAAGAGATCCGAAATACAACACGAGGTACGAATCTCATTTTGCGGTACGAGGGCGTTGTAGTACAGCTTGTTCATTCCACCCATGCGTTTATTGTCATCTCTGCTCTGCTTAGTTGCCTCGATACGCCCGTTTTGAAACGCAATACGTCTCGTGTTCAAGACGGCCGTGTCAATACGTTGCGTGTTGGCTCCACGTATTGGGCCACGTTTTGGCGAATATATCGCGTCGGACATACGTTTTCAGCCTACGTGTTAAGCTCCGTATCGATACGCCACGTGTTGCGTGTTGCGTATCGGGGCAGCTAAGCTGCTCTGCTATCCTTAGTTCGTTGTGTGCCATTGCGCGATGTACGAATCCGCCAGCCGTTGGGAAGGACGTCGCACGAGCAGTCTGAGCAGGCCGGGACACTATGTCGTCATTGTTCGTCTTCTGCCACCCGAGAAGGCGATGAGCACTCGTTCGGGGACTGGTCGGAGTGGAGGGAGAATCAGAGGCTGAAGCCCTCGACCAGGCCCGCGGGGAGCTGAAAGGGGCGGGTAAGATGTCACAAGGTGGCGACTTGGTGAGGTGTTTGCAGACATGCTGTGCCGTCGCCCCTGGAGCCCCGCAACTCCCTCGATATATCTTCGAGTTCTGACGCTTGTCTGTCGTTCCACCCGATATTCTCACCATCGCATCAGCGTGTCATCTAGAGACAGTCAGGAGGCGCAGCTGTGGTAGGCTCAGGAGGTCAGCAGATCTCGGGAGGCGTCCTGGTCTGATCTGGCCTGGGTGAGATTATGGTGGCGCAGATCTCAGACGACAGGCACAGGGCGACTTCTCGGGATGCTCAGGAGGGTCGGCAGACTTCGGAGGGCGCCTCTGTGGCAGATTCGCTCGGGCTGTCCTCTGGCTTACTTTGTGGGTGACTGGTCCGACTCATGGTTTTAGGGCGCGGTTCAAGGTGGTGGAGGTAATTTGGCAGGGACGGCGCGGGAGGGGGAGGAGGAGGAGGAGGAGGAGGAGGAAGAAGAGAAAGAAGAAGAAGAAGAAGAGGAGGAGGAGGAGGAGGAGGAGGAGGAGGAGGAGGAGGGAGGAGGAGGGAGGAGGAGGAGGGAGGGAGGAGAGGGGAGGAGGGAGGAGGGAGGAGGGAGGAGGGAGGGAGGGAGGGAGGGAGGGAGGGAGGGAGGGAGGGAGGGAGGGAGGGAGGGAGGGAGGAGGAGGGAGGAGGAGGAGGAGGAGGAGGAGGAGGAGGAGGAGGAGGAGGAGGAGGAGGAGGAGGAGGAGGCGGAGTCGGAGGGCCAGGCGTCGCAGGGCGGGCGCGCTCCCCGCCTCGCGCCTGCCACTGGCGGGCGGATGGCCGTGGCGGCAGACGTCGGCGAGAGCCAGGGTGGTCGCGACAGACATCTGGCCCGGGGCAGCACTGCAGTCGAGGCGTTGACCTAAGGAACCCCAAATAAGGAACGAGGGCCCCTTTTCCCATAAGTTGAACCTCGATTTCCCATGGAAAACCTCAGGAAAACCCTAAGCAACTTTTGAAACAATCAAGGAACACCGAGCCCCTCCCCAACGCAAAGGGTTCCTTCTTCAGCGCCCCGACTGTACAGCACTCCGCGAAGCCTGACGCAAGCGTTCCCCGCGACGCGTCGGCACCCCCCAGACCCCAAATGTCGATGTTGATGCCGAAGTGCGCGGCTTGATTTTTCCCGTCGGCGTCCGCGGACCGCGCCGCGCGCGCAACTGGACATTGAAATTGGGGGCGCCAGGGGCGGGGGGGGGAAGCTTGCGTTAAGTTTCGCGGAGGGCTGTGGCATTGACAGCTGAAAAGCGATGCGCGAAGTGGGCTCCGAGCAAGGAGGCGCGGGTGGATTGGAGAAGGAGGAGGGAGGCTGACGAGGAGGGAGGCGGGAGGCGGGAGAGGAGGAGGAGGGGGAGGAGGGGGAGGAGAGTGAGGAGGAGGAGGAGGAGGAGGAGGAGGAGGAGGAGGAGGAGGAGGAGGAGGAGGACGAGGAGCAGGAGGAGGCTCCGATGCTGCACAGCCCAAGACGCTGGAGTGAGGGCCGCCCGGGGCGCGGGAGGGGCTCTTCTGTCTTTCGGGCCGCTCCTCCGGCACCGGTCGAGGAGCCCTGTTCGCGGCCGAGGCTCCCCGTGGCCAGACAAGCGCCTTCGCTCCTTTCGGGCCGGACGAAAGGGGGGGATTGGGAAAGAGGGGGGGGATTAAAACGACGCGAAGATCGGGACAAAATCGGATCGGGATAACTCGAAATCTCTGAGAGTCGGCGGGTTTGGAGGATGTATTGGGCGCCGCGGCCGCTCCAGAGCGTTCCGGAACGCTCTGAGAGCGCTCCGGAACGCTCTGGAGCGATTTATCCCGATCCTAGCCCTGTTTTAGGGGTTGCGAAATCTGCTGCATGCAGCTGGTTTCGGCCCCGCCGCCGGGCCCATGCCTCGATACATGGGCGCCTCCCGGCGCCGGGAGGCGCTGGGAGAGTCAGATACGTGAGCTGAGTCTCAAACCCCCCCTTTGCTATCCCCCCCTTTCGCCCGGCCCGATCCTTATGCATAGTTCCTTCCGTGGTTTCCGGAACAAGGAGAGAGAAAAAAGATAACATAAAAAAAACACAAAAAACAACTAAAACACACAAACATCTTGATTGCAAAAAACAAAGAAAAACACACACACACACAAAAAAAAAGCCCATCTCGAATGCGTGTTGAAGCGGGTTCACCCCCCGGCCCCAATTTCAAGGTTCGGGGTGGCCGACGCGGGGGAGCGCGAGTCGTTTCGAAAAAGCCGCCCACATCTGCAATCCGCGGCCTGCTCCCTTAAATGAGCATTGAAATTGGGAGCGCGGGGGGCGCTCTTGCGCCATCTTCTGGGCGTTGTACTTGGGCGTTTTTTCCCGAAAACGCCGGTGGCACAGCCCTCCGCGAAATCAAACGCTCCAGGACCCCCAATTTCAATGTTCGCGCCGAAACTGGCGACTCAGACTGTTCTTCAGATCCCGCGGGCCGCTTTGCGCGCGTCGCTGAACATTGAAGTTGGGGGGAGGGGCGAGGGGGGGTAAGAAGTTTACGCTTGTGTTCGTGAAAGGTTACACGTCAGGAATTGTTTGATAGAGTATCGCTCCGCCAGTCCTGGCCCACCACGCTTCGGCGCGACACGTTGTCCATTCCCTGGTCCCCAAGCGTCAACATCTCGTGTTTTCCCGAGCCTCCTGGCCCGCGGAGCGGAGCGACACGCTATCCACTCGTAGGGCATAGCGTGTCGCCAGGGCCGCCGCTGTGACACTACCACGTCGGGGGCTCGTAGAGAGAGGGGTATCCCAAGGTGGGGCAGGGGAATGGGCCCAGCTGGATATTCTCCCATTCGGCGCGCTTCCTTCTTCCGGGGGCCGTCCAGAGCGATTTTCCCTCCAATCCCACCTTGGCCGCAACCCCACCTTTGCGCCCCCTCCCCGACCATGATGACTGCAAACAGCATGGCGAATGGAGGGCAGAGAGCGTGAGGGGAGCGGCAGCCGCGGGCGCAGGATGGGGCGGGGGGGGGGTAAATGCTGGGCGTCGGAGGTACCGCAGGGCGGAGACGTCGAACTGCGCGGGCATCCGGATGCACCCCATCCACACGCTGAGCGTGTGCAAGAAGGCATCCGAGGAGCTTGGCCTCGGGTTCAGACGGCTCGGTAGCACATCAGGGGAGCCTCGTGTGTCCTCGCAACTCACGGGCTAGCATCTGGCAATCGATGAGAAATCGCCGACTTCGCGTCGACTAGCGTCAACGGAGCGTCGATTAGCGTCGGCCAGCGTCGATTCACGAGGGCCAGCAAGTCATCATCATCATCATCATCATCATCATCATCATCATCATCATCATAATCATCATCATCATCCTAGTTAATCATCATCATCATCATCAGCATCAGCATCAGCATCATCAGCATCATCATCATCATCATCATCATCATCATCATCATCATCATCATCATCATCATCATCATCATATCCTTTTCATCATCAGCATCACCATCATCATCATCATCATCATCCTTATCATTATCAGTATCATTATTTATTATTGTGATGTCGTTTATGGTGGTCACGACGGTGTGGATGATGACGACAGACAAGATGGTGGTGATGATTGTTAGCATGAATTCATAGCTTGGCGACATGGTTTTGCGGTTACACTGGGGGGGGCTGGAGTTGTTGTTGTTTTCTGTGCCTTTGCAGCGCGCGTCCTGTCCAGCGGGCAGGAAGCTTACATCGCCTCTTCGAAAGTTTTGACCCATTTCGTGGCCCTGCGAATACAATGCCGAACGAAGTCTCCAACCATGGGCAGGGACCACTGCGCCATTGAGCACCAGAGCCTGCGAGCAGCAAGACGCTCCACTTCGATTTCAAATCCGAAGAGGTTCGAATTGAGTTCTGGGGGAATTAATGAGCGCGATCGCCATTTCGACTTTTTACCCAACAGGGTTCGAGTTCTGTCCTGAAGGAAGTATTTGGCGGAAGGGTGAATTCGATTGCGAACCTGAAAATGTCGACTTCGGTCAAAATGTTTTTTTCGTTGATGTCCCAAGCGGAGTCGCCGCTTCGATTCTGGCAACCCGCTCGGCATGCTTAAAGTGTTAAATTCGGTACCCCGAAAAGTCGAAAGTGTTGGATTCGCTTGGGGCTTCATCGAAACAACAATTTCGACGTGATGTCGAAACTCGTCGGCCTGAAATCGAAATGGCGATTCCGCCAAATACTTCTTCGACGAAGCGCGTTCGACCGTCGTCGAAATCCTTGGCCCGAAATCCAAACTGCGCGAGAGTGCCTTCGTTTCACGAAGCAACGAGAGGCACCCTGGCAACATTGTTCTGGGTCCCGTCGCCAAGCGGGCCCCTTTCAAACTGTCCCCCGTTAAGAACATTGTACCTTGGCTCCGCTGCCGAACGGGAAGAGACAAATGCCACCCGATGATTTGTAGCGACGAAGTGGGATATCAGGCGAATGATGGGCGCGTTGCAAACAGTGTTGCGCACATGGCATCCGCGCTCAGCCGCTGACAGTAGGGACCGCTGAGACCAAAGCAAACGTTCATGTCAACCGTGCAGACCCAGTGGGATCTCAGGCGAAGTAGGGTCGCGTTCCAAACAGCGTCGCGCACTTGACAACCGCTCTCGACGGCTGACAGTAGGGACCGCTAAGACCAAGGCAAACGTTAATGTCAACCGTGCAGGCTCACTGTCGCTACGAAAGTTGTGGCCCGTCTCGCGGCCCTATAAGTACAATGCCGAGCGAAGTCTCCAATGATGGACAGGGACCACCGCGCCATTGAGCACCAGAGCCTGCTAGCAGCAAGACGCTCCATTTCGATTTCGAATCCGAAGAGGTTCGAATTGAGTTTTGGGGGAAGTCATGGGTGGAATCGCCACTTCGATTTTGAACCGAACAGGTTTCGACTTCTGTTTTGAAGGAAGTACTTGGCGGAATGGCGACTTCGACTTCGAACCCGAAAATTTCGACTTCGGTCGAAATGGTGTTTCGCTGATGTCTCAAGCGGAGTCGCCGCTACGACTCTGGCAACCCGCTTGCTATTTGAATTGTTGTCAATTCGGTACCCCGAAAAGTTGAAAGTGTTGGATTCGCTTGGGGCTTCATCGAAACAGCCATTTCGACTGGATGTCGAAACTCGTCGGCTTGAAGTCGAAATGGCGATTCCAGCGAATATTTCTTCGACGAAGCGTGTTCGACCGACGTCGACATTCTTTGGCCCGAAATCCAAAATGCGTGGGAAGGCTTTCGCTTCACGAAGCAACGAGACGCACCTAGGCAACACTGTACCGGAACCCCGTGGCCAAACGGGCCCCTTTCAAAATGTCCTCCGTGGATAACAGTGTACCGGAGCCACGCCGCCGAATGGGAAGAGACAAATTTCGGCCGAATTGTCGCAGCGGCGAAGTACAGTCGGACTCGATTGGACAGGACACCCGAGAGGACACAAGACCCTTGCGAGGGCCACATTGCCACAGGAATGCAGGAAGCATGGGCCGCGAGGCACAGGACACAAGGGTACCCTTGATCTGGCAGGGTCGACCTACGAATCTGGGCCGACTGCATGTAGCGCAGAGGCAGGCACAACACTTACACTTGTTAGCACGACGACACTCCGACGGCGGCCGATGCACGGCGCAGCCTGCCGAGGCGGAGTCGCGACACCTGCTCGAGCGAAAGAGAAGGTGGCCAGCGCTCGTCTTCTCGAAGCGGTGCGAGGCCGTTATGTGTTTTTGTTCTCTCTCTCTCTCTCTTTCTTTATTTCTCCCTCTCTCTCTCTCCTCACTCTCTCTCTCTCTCTCTCTCCTCTCTCTCTCTCTCTCTCTCTCTCTCCTCTCTCTCTATATGTATATATGTATATATCCTCTCTCTCCTCTTCTCGAAGTGGTGCGAGGCCGTTATGTGTTTTTGCTTATTCCTCTCTCTCTCTCTCTCTCCCTCTCTCTCTCTCTCTCTCCTCTCTCTCTCTCTCTCCTCTCTCTCTCTCCTCTCTCTCTCTCTCTCTCTCTCTCTTTCTCGGGCGCGAAGGATCACAGCCAGCAGGAACACAGACACAGGGTGGGCCTAAGCTTGGGGGCAACGCTAACGGGGGATAAGGCTCAGGGAGATCGCCCACTCATCGTTTATATACGGCCCGATAGCCCACCCACCCATGAGCGTGCTGATTCTAGCTATCAGGGGCCTAATGCCCATCGATCGGCGATGTATCGCCGATTCCATGTCGATGTCCTGAGCCGGGCACCCCCTAACGTTTCCTCTCAGTCGCTCTCTGATGCTCACTTGCCTTCTCAAAAGGCTGGGAAGGCCTCGGGCCTGCAAGAGCGGGCGCCTCTTTCGCAACATGTGGCACCCCCCTCCGGCGCGGTCGCCCGCCAACTCTGAGGATACGGGGCATCGGGGGGGTCCCTCTCGGCATTTCTATCGGCGGGCATCCATCCCGAAAGCGGCGGGAGTGGTACGGTTGTGGCCACCACCAAGAGTGGCGCAGCCGTCGAAGCTGGTTGCGGACATCGCTCCGAGGAGAGCGGACGCCCGCACGCCAGGCATGCAGCGAGGTCGCCTGCCACCTACTGTCGGGAACCTTGGGTTCGCGTGTCTCGCTCCACCGGTTCTGGCCCAACAAGCCTCGGCGCGACGCGCTGTCCCTTTCCCCGGTCCCCAGGCGTCCACGTCCCGAGCATGCCCGAGCTCCCCGCCCCGCAGAGCGGGGTGACACGTTGTCACCAGGCGTGGCACGGCGTGCCGCCTGGGCCGCCGCCGCCGCGACGCGCCAAGCGAACGACCCTGACCGTAGGCGCCTCTATTCGATGCCCTTCGCGGCGCCTCGTGACGGCTCGGCCCCGGCGCAGGGTCGGGCTGTGGAGCATGCGGAGCAGCGCGCGTCGGTGCCCAGCGTGGCAGGAGGCGCCGCGCAGGGCGCCTATCCCGGCACGTCTGCCGACACCCGTCTGCCTGCGCAGGCAACCCGGGGGGCCGGGCGCGCTCCTCGGGGCGCGCTCTTGCGTTGTGCGGCAGCAGCTCGTGGGAGCTCTGGATGTCTTGGGGCCGTCTTTGGGCTTCTTGGAACCACCTTAGGAGCCATCGTGAGCGATCTTGCGCTATCTTGAGCCATCTTGGAGCTCAGCTTGGGTTCTCTGAGGCGCTCTTGGAGCCGTCTTGGGCCATCTGGGACGCTCTAACTACCCGCGGCCCCCCCCCGTCCAGGTCCAGGGGAGGGGGTAGGGGGAGGGGTAAACCCCTCCCCAAGGGGGAAGAGGGAGGGGTGGAAGAGGATCTGCTCTAGACCACCTACGCCCAGAGGGCTGGTGGGATTCCGTCTCCGGAGTGCCAGGGCGCGCGCTGGCGTCCGATAGTCGATGAGGCGGCGCCGAAGTAGCGCCGACGCGTCTTCGACCGGCATCGATTTGGCGCCGATCCGCGTCGGCCATCGCCAGTTCGCCAGAGAGCAGGATTCAGGAGGAAAAGAAACACATAGACACAATTAATCGGCGATTCCCCAGAAAATATGGGAAAATATGGGCAGTGGGGGGAAGACAGAAAGCCAGAAAATATTGGAAAATATAGGGAATCCTTTTCTTTGTGCATTTATTTGTGTGTCCTGGGGCCCCTTCAAAGATGACACGGGAGGCCTCCATGAGTTGCCACGGGAAGCGCTGTCTCCCAGCTCCACCGCGGCCGCCTCGGCCCTGCCAGCCGCCACCGTGATCGCCCCTGCCGCCGAGCCGCCCGCAGGGCCGCGCGCTCGTGCGGGGGGGCGATGCTCCGCCCGGGAGGGCGCCGCCGTCCGACCCGGGTCCGGGGCCCTGGAGGAGGAGCGGAGGTGCCGCGAGCGCCGCACGGCCTCGCGGCACCTGCGCTCCGCAGCAGCATGCGCTGCCGAGGCCGGGAGGGCGAGCTCGAGCTCGGCGGCCCTGCCGGGGTCATCGAGACGGGAAGGTGGCGGCCGAGGTTTCTGCGCGGAGTGCCGTTCACGATGAGTGCCCGCACGTTCCAGACCAGGCCGGCTCGCCGTCTGTTGGTGGTATGTCCGCTGATGATGGCGACGGAAATGGACCTCCGGGTCCAGGTGGCGGACATTGACCTGCGGTCGAGGCGTCGGTAGACACGAGTTTGTTGAAATGTTCTCTCCCTAGCACTCCTACGCACGTACGACCTGGCGGTGATGATTTGGGACCTCAGTGCAGCGGCACCAGTCCAGTAGGCATGCACGACCCTGGCGGGAACAGAGCATGGCGAGTCTTCAATCACCGCGAAGGCTATGCTGAGCAGTTGCTGTTCCTGACGGATTGTGAGGTCTGGCAGAGCTTTGATGATTGGATTGGCCTGTGTGCTCCTTATTCGGTCGTGCTTCTGGACGTGCCGGGTCTCATCGAGACGTGGTCGAGGATGACGGCGCCGCCGACACGTCTGGCAGACACGGTGTGGCCGAGAACTTGGGATACATTTGAAACGGTCTGGACTAGGAACCCTCAGGAATTCCTAGGAATCCTTAGGAATTCTTAGGAATCCTTGGGAATTCCTAGGAATCCTTCGGAATTCCTAGGAATCCTTAGGAATTCCTAGGGAGGCAGAGCGCGCGTCCCATTCTAAAGATCGTGTCGGAGCTTCGCCCTGCAGACTGGCGTGGGGCAGCGGAATGTCATATGGCGGCACTCCGTGACAGAAGGAAGCACGTTGAGTGCCGAAGCATGGCGGATGCTTCAAGGCTGCCCCCTCCCATGTCGTGAGTCCGCGATCCGCGTGAGCCACTGCGCCCTGCTTCGAGGCCGCGGGTGCGTGCTCCTCCCGTGCCTCGGAGCCCCGAGAGACCCAACCCGCCACGCAACCACGGCAATTCCGAGCCTGCGGAATGCGGCGTGAGAAGCCTCCTGACGGACAAGCTTGTCGACGATGACCTACGCTTCAGGGCGGCGGCCATCAATCGCTGCCGAAGGATCGAGAATGACGCCGTGATGTTTCTGCCTGGAATGAACTTTGCGCTTTTCCCAGATGAACACAGCAGTGGCGTGGATGTATTTTCTATCGCTCTGGTCTGCGGTCGGGTTCGCGGTGACGACTACCAGGCGATCCCCACCATTGCCCCGAAAATCGAAGATCCTGACTGCGACGGATGCGTGCAACTCCAGGGCGTGATTGAGCAGATTGCGGAACAATGGTGCCACATCTGTTCTATCAGGACGAGCACATGGACGCGCTGTAGCACTATATGGAGTGGCGTGCGCCGTTCACGGTCAAGCAGTGAAAGGGGGCAGAATTCGATCATCTATCCGTTCGCGTTGGGGGCGATCTCTGTATACAGACATTCGCGATCAATTCGCTGCTGATCTCTGCGCCGAAGCGCGGCTTGGCACGGAGTCCCAGAAGTCCGTGCTGGTTGATGTCATCAAGAACCAGGCGACCAACGTGATGTATGGTGAACCAGCTAGCTGGGCGACGCGCTCCGTACGAAAGATTACGCGGCTGGAGACCGCATCGGTTCATGGTGCCACCGAAGACGCCGTCCATTCCCGAGCTGGGTGAAGCTCAGCCAGGACATCCCGAAGAAGACCTTCACCCCCCCGAGTATGAACTTCCGCATGATGAATCAGCTCAGCATGAAGCCCTTGACAATCAAGAACATTATGCGCACGCTGCGGGTGATGCGGCTGGCATTGAATATGTTACGCAGGTCCTTATGTGGTTCAAATGCCTTTCGAAGCGATGGTCTCTCGCTCTCCTGGGGGAGGGCAGGACATTCAGAGTCCGCGCCCCCAACATCCTGTACGGCTTCACGCTCCATTGTCTAGCACTTCGACAGAGATAGCCACTCCAAGGACCTGCAGTGACTATCTCGATTCCGACGGCGACCTCCTCGCCGCCACTTGCGACGAGCCCTGCGTCGTGGCCGTCGAGGCGCTGGACGCCCAGGCCCCGCGCGCCGATTCCGAGGCCCCGCGCGCCAGCGCCTTCCTCGGCGCCCCGCGGAGTGACCTGGCTACCCTGACGTGTTGGATCCTCCTCCTCCTCCTCCTCCTCCTCCTCCTGCTCCTCCTCCTCCTCCTCCTGTCCTCCCCCCTCGCTGATGTCATTGGGCTCCCCTCGCGGCAAACCTGCACCCCGACGCGCGCGCCAGGAGCTCGGCATCCCCGCAGAGCAGGCCCACGAGCAGGCCCTGGCGGAGCGGCCAGAGGGCTGTTACTACCTCCGCAACTACGAGGAAGCTCGCCGGCCGAAGCCCTTACGAGTCCCACGGAGGCCCCGTGGAGGCTTCCAAGAGGTCCCCAGGAAGCTCCCAGGAGGCCGCCCCCTGTTTTTCCTTCTCCTGCTCATCGTCGTCGTCGTCGTCGTCGTCGCCGCCCCCGCCCCCGCCGCCGTCGCCGTCGCCGTCGCCGTCGCCGTCGTCATCGTCGTCGATCTCGCCCCCTTCTTCTGCTTGATGGTCTGTGTCTGTCCCTTCCTCTCTGGGTGAGTCTCCTCCTCCTCCTATTCCACCTCCTCCTCCTCATCATCATCCTCCTCTTCCTTCCTTCCCCTGATTCCCAGCGTCTTGAGAAAGACCGAAGCGCTCGGCTTGCCGTCGTTTCTGGCCTCTGGAGACCAGTGTTCGGCCTCGGGACTGTTCAGAACGGTTCGGGGTGAAATGCCTGTCCCGGGGGAGGGGTCGAGAAGTTCGGGGGGACCACGCATCGTAAAAGTCTGAGCGCCGAATAGCCGAGTCCATTCGTCCTTCCATCCGTACGCTCTGGGCTTGCCGGTCTCGGCTGGCCCTGGTTTTTTTCTTGTGCGTCTCCGGTTGCCCTGGCCCTCGGGCCCGAAGGCGCCGCCCAACAGGGCGGCACGCAGCCGCTCGCTCGCTTGCTCGCTGGCCGAATTCCGACCCCCACCCTCGGATTCGCGGGCCTCAGGGACCCCAAAACCAATCGTGCATTACGTTTTCCTTCGGGAGTCGATCCGGGACGATAAGCTGGCCAAGATATTAAGGGTGTTGGTGCAGATGCCCTTCCCTTCACTCGTTCTCGCTTTCTTGGGCCCCTTTCTGGGGTTTCGGTCACCTCGCCTGGATCCGCCCAGGAACCCGGGGCAGAGCGCACCCCTGGGGACATGCCCGATCTTCCAAGAGACTGAATTGGTTTGGGTTGCATTGTGGGTACCTTGGGTTTCTTCGTCCACCCCAGCCAAGGTCAAATGGGCGGGTTTGGGGGGGCGGAGGGAACTCGCACCTTTCTGTGTTTGCAAGGCCCGAAGCTTGTTGTTTCGATCGCCTTGGGTTTCGCGATGTCAAATTGCTCGGGTCAGAGTACCTCGGGTTTCTTCGTTTGCAGCCGACGTGCAAGAAACCCGGCCCTGGACCAAGAAACCTCGGCGGAGTTCAGAATTGGGTTTCTTGCGGTAGGTTTCTCGTGGGTTGGTTTCCATTGCAGCGCCGATATAGTGTCGATGTGCGTCGACTATCGCCGATTAGCGTCGACGTAGCGTCAATTAGCGTCGACTAGCACCGACTGGCGTCGATTCGCAAGAACCAACAAGATGGTAATTATGTGAGGCTCCCACGAGCTGCCGAGGCTTCCAGCTGCCCCATCCGTCTTCCGCTCGCGTGCCGATGGGGATTGCAGGTGGCATGGAGGGACCACGAACACGCCGCGCGGCGCGGTCTCTTGTCAGGTCTTTGCCCACTTCGATACAGCTTGGGCACTGAGCCCTGGCCAGGGTCTGGGATGCATCGCTGTGCCGCCTATCCGCCCGGCGTTCGGGTTGAAGCTTCGCAAGCTTTCAAGAACCAGCTCGCTGGGGAGATAGACGTACTGCAGTTCAAAGGCAGCGCTCTGCTTCCCTAGGCCGTCTTCTGTCTCGTCCGCGCAGCGAGCCATCGCGAGGTGGAGTACTTCTCTCCGCCGCTCACTTCTGCCACATGCGCACGCGCAGCACCTCCGCGAATCCCAGGATCGGCATCCGCCACTACAAGCGGCCCAGATTAGTAGGTCGACCCTGCCAGATCAAGGGTGCCCTCGTGTCCCGTGTCTCGCGACCAGTGCCTCCTACGTTCCCACAGCACTGTGGCCCTCGGAGGGGTCTCGTGTCCTCTCGCGTGTCCTGTTCAATCAAGTCCGACTTGATTGGCGCGGCCCCCCCCTCCTGGCGAGCTCGAGCCCGGGCTGGCGCCCGACCACCATCCGTGTCGCGAGCGCCTTGCCGCTGAACGTGCAGCCTCCGGCCCACCTGTAGCGGAGTCCTGCCTGCGCGGGCCGTGCGGCGTCGCTGCTCGGTGGCCCAGGGCGCCCCTGCTGTGACCATGGCCCGTCATCATTCACCTCCTCCTCCGCCTCCCCCTCCTCCTCCTCCTCCTCCTCCTCCTCCTCCTCCTCCTCCTCCTCCTCCTCCTCCACCTCCTCCTCCTCCTTCCTCCTCCTCCCCTCCTCCTCCTCCTCCTCCTCCCCCTCCCTCCCCCCTCCTCCTCCTCCCCCCCCTCCTCCTCCTCCTCCTCCTCCTCCTCCTCCTCCTCCTCCTCCTCCTCCTCCCTCCTCCTCCTCCCTCCTCCTCCTCCTCCTCCTCCTCCTCCTCCTCCTCCCCTCCTCCTCCTCCCCCCTCCTCCTCCTCTCCTCCTCCTCCCCCCTCCTCCTCCCCCTCCTCCCCCCCTCCTCCTCTTCCTCCTCCTCATCCTCCTCCTCGTCCTCCTCCTCCTCCTCTTCGGCCTCCTCCTCCACCTCCATCGTAATCATCCTCGTCGCCCACGTGGCGCCAATCTGAGGGCCCCCCCTGCGGCACGGTGCTTGCAGGGCGCTGCCTGTGCATCATGGCCGGGCCAATCCGATTCGATCACGTCTCCGTGCCGATGTGGCCCGACCCGGCGCACGTTCCGATTCGACCCGCCTTCCAGATGCGATGCTGGTCGATCGTGGAGGCTGTCTGGCAATTCGTGGCGATGTTTCGGCTTCGATCCGACACATGTTCCCTCTCCTCCGACGCTGCAATGCTTTGTGACGTCGGCCCCAGGGCTTTTGGACCACTTCCCTGGGTCAGGATTCGAATCCTGAGTAAGCTTTCGACGGTCCGGGGGCAGGGAGATAGCCTGCAGAATCCGGAAACTGCACAAAAAATGGCGTCACGCTTCATTGCGTCCCAGGTCCGCGGGCCCCGGTCCCATCCGATGCACCGAGTCGATGCCGACCACTCGCTGCCCCCGCGCGCCGCCGAGGACGGCACGGGCACCCTCTGGCTCAACATCAACCCAGCCAGCAAGGCCGCGTGGGGCGCCAGCTCTTCGCCTGCGCCGGCCCCGGCCGGGCCGAGTCCCCCCACCCCTTCCCGCCCAGGCCTCGGAAAAGGTTGGCGATCCCTCGTGCCATGCCAACCCCCACCCCCTCCCCCCAATGATCCAAGGTGGCTGAGGCTGAGTGGCACTCCGACCGCGCCCACTTCGAATGTGGGCGGAGGGGGAGTGCCCCCATGACTTGTTTCCCTCCACCGTGGCTCAGCAACAACCGCGGCGGGAGGCTTTGGGCCATTCGCGGCCTCGGGGCTACCCCCCACTGGGCCTCGGGACAGGAACGAAGCGGGATGAAAAGCCAGTGTTGGGGAAGGGGCCCAGGCCTCTTCAGACCGTTTTTGTGCATCCCCTGGCGATACAGTCGGGGCGCTGAAGAAGGAACTCTTTTCGTTGGGTAGGGGCTCCGTGTTCCTCAATTGTTTCACAGTTTGCCCCACATTTTCCTTAGGGTTTCGAAGGGAAATCGAAGTTCAACTTCTGGAGAAAAGGGGCCTCGTTCCTTATTTAGGGTTCCTTAGGTCAGCGCCCCGACTGTAACGGGCGTGACCGGGGTCGGGGAGGGGGAGGGGGCCGTTCACGTCACGATTCGCGCCAGCGCCGTCTGGGAATGCCCCAGGGTGGCCAATCCCCACACGGCGACGGCGCGAATCGTGGCGTGGCCAGGGGGGGAGTGGAGGCGCAAGTGCGAGTGTTGCCACGGTTCGCTGGAGGGGCCGGGTGGCCTAGTGTCCGTTCCTTCTCGGTGCAAAGCTTGTTTGGGAGCGGGGAGTCAGTAGAAGGGAGGGGAGTGAGCTCTCGCTCCTACCACTTTCTTACACATCTTACACATGTTAAGTCTCATCATCCTCATCATCAGCATCATCATCATCGTCGTCATCATCATCAGCATCATCATCACCACCACCGCCACCATCGCCATCACCATCACCAGCCAACTTTCGACATACCCTCACGCGCTTCGTGGCACCATAGAGAGCTCATCGAAGGCCCCAGTGGAAGGGCCTGCATGCGTGACCGCGCTCATTCCCGCGCACACCTCACACGTGGCGTAGCCCCATACATTTCTATGGCGGAAGTTTAAGCGGTTGGGTCTGATATTGGAACATCCTATTCCTCTGAAGATTCCTGACATGCGCCGGTGTCTCCTGCTCTGTCGCGCAGTAGTTCGCCTCCATAGGTACATAGCTCTATTATTCAATCGCTTCGCTCACTCCGCTGGCCCATATTGTAGCATCGCTGGCACTTGATTGCGTGCCTTGGGGGGCGTTTGTGGGACCTCCTGGGGCCGCTTGGGGGCCTCTTAGGGGCTTCCGCCCCATCTCATCCTTAGCGTTGCTACACTTTGCCGCCGCTTTTTCTGGGGAGTGGAGGTGGGGCTATTGCAGGGGACGTGCCGGGAGGAGAACCTGCAGACACCTATGGCCGCTTTGGACACTGTGGCCATTGCCACACCAATGCCATTCGCCAAATTTGCAACTTCGGCAATTACCCCCACAGTCTGCCGCCACATGTTCCGCCACTCCAACCCACCACCCCTGTCTTGACCTTGATTCCGTGGGAAGCCACCGCCGCGGAAGGCGCAAACCTCCAGCACGCTCGGTGGAAGCCCCCCAGGCGGCCCCCAGTCCAACATACGGGAAACCCTGCACCTGCTTGCAGGCGAGGGTTCCCGTCGTTGGTCTGGGGCACGCCCGCTGAGCGTTCTTAAGAGCAGGGGGAGAGGCCATTGAGCCTTCCACCTTGGCGAGGGTGGACCTCTGTCGCCGCCACGTTCCTCATCTCCTCGTGGTCACTTGAGGTTCCTCCCTGTCTCTCTCTCTCTCTCTCTCTCTCTCGTTCCCTCTTTGCGTCTGCTGTCCTTCTATTTTTAACTTCGTTCCGCCCCCAGCCGGCGACTCCTAGAGCGTCGCTCCAGGAATCGCTTAGCTCCTAGTTAGATCATCCTCACAGGGCCGACCAGCCCTGGGGGGGCAACATCAAACGGATTCTCGTGCCATCAGGAATCAGGAATTTGGTGGAGGAAGTGTTGAGGAGGAGGAGGAGGAGGAAGAAGGGGTGGAGGAAGCTGTGGCTGAGGAGGAAGAGGAGGAGGAGGAGGAGGAGGACAAGAAGAAGAACAAGAAAACGGTGGTGAGTGCCTGGCTCCCTCCTGCGAGGGCAACGGCGCCGAGACCTCCGACCTGGCACGGGGCAAGCTGAGGCAGCCGCTCTGCTCGAAGGAGAGGGGCTGCGGCGGGCGGCGGCCTCTCCTCCCCGGCCCTCGCTCCTCGACCCTCGCTCCCCGAGGTTCGCTCCTCGCGCCTCGACGCTCGCTCCTCGACCCTCGCTCCTGGGAGGAGGAGGAGGAGGAGGAGGAGGAGGAGGAGGAGGAGGAGGAGGAGGGGGAGGAGGAGGAGGAGGAGGAGGAGGAGGAGGAGGAGGAGGAGGAGGAGGAGGATGAGGAGGAGCAGGGGGAGGAGGCGGAGGAGGTGGGGCGCGCCAGGCGGGGCCTCCCGCCGCAGCTTCGGGATCTGCGTTGGGCCCTCTGGCGCCGCCCCTGGCGCGCTCCGCGCGCCAGGGAGGCGGGTCCAGCGCCGACCGCAAAAAGTCAGCACGGACCTCCGAAAGTTATCAGGGTGCACTCCGAAATCTCGCCCGACAAAGCTCAGTCTGAGCAACGCAAGACAGGGGGTCGCCTTTTCCGACGTCGGCGCGTCTCTGAGCTGCCCGCACAAGAGGTCGCGCGCAATCGCCCTCACTTCCAACCGCCGCCCCTGGCGCGGGGTCTGGCGCGGATCCAGGACATCGGCGCGGAGCCCCGAAAGCTTACAGTCGGGTCGCTGAAGAAGGAACCTTTTTTGTTGGGGAGGGGCTCCGTGTCCCTGAAGTGTTTCACAGCTTGTCTCAGGTTTTCCTTCTATTTTCGAAGGGACGCCGAAGCTTTACTTATGGATAGAAGTGGCCTCGTTACTTGTTTAGAGTTCCTTAGGTCAACGCCCCAAAAGCTCACGTGGATGCCGTGTCTTTTACTTCTACTCGGGGACAAAAGCGTGCGGTCGGGAATTTTGGGTTGGCGCGTCGCGCCGCCGGCTCTGGCACACCACGCTTCGGCGCGACATGCTGTCCACGGCCTCGGCCCTGAGCGTCAACCTAACCCCGTGCCTTTCCTGGCCTCCCGCCCCGCGCAGCGGAGCGGCGCGCTGTGCGCTCGCAAGGGATTGAGCGTGTCGCCCGGGCCGTCGCCGCGACGCGCCAGGCAGAAGTTCTTGACCGTAGGGGGACAGGCCCAGGGGGGTCGACGACGTGAAGACGTCACGATCTCGGAGTGGTGGAAAAAGGAGGGTCGGTTGCACGTCAGAGTGGCCCTTTTCTCAAGGGCAACTGTTGCGGGAGGACGGGCTCAGGGGTTGCCCGCCCCCCCCCCACGCCAAAGGAACGCGCGGTGTTGCTTTCGCGGCCCCCTTGCCGATCTGTCGCCGGTGTGTCGCCGTGTCCAGATCGATGCTTCCCTCCCTGAGCCAGTCACCCCCTTCTCGCCAGTCGTTGCCCCTATCACTCCTCCCCCCCTCGCCTCCTGCTCGGCGGCGTCGCGCAAGAGGGGCGGAGCGAGGAGGGCGGCCTTGCAGGAAGGCAGGGTGCTTCCAAGAAGCCCCCGAGCCCTTCGGAGAACCCCCCTGAGGTCTTGCAAGGCCACCCCCGTTCTCCCCGAGCCATCTTGCGTGCCGCACATCTCCCCGTCAGCGTGAAGAGCAAGCTGTCTTGAGCGAATGGGGTCCTGGGCGAAAGGGGCCCTGAAGTCTTTCGCCGTTTTCGGCCTCCCGGTGTCTGCCCCAGGACCCCGGATGGTCGAAGCGCGACTCAGGATGAACAGCTGTTTCCAGGGCGCCCAGGAAAAGCAGGTCCTGGACGCGCTTCCCCAGGATCCTTGTCCCTCTCGCGGCAATCCTCCCCCTCTCCGCTCCCCTCCCACCTACCCCTCCTCTCCTCCCCTCCTCCCTTCGCCTTCCTTCCTTCCTCCTCCCTCCTCTCCTCCCCTCCTCCCCTTCTCCCTCGTCCTCTCTCCCGTCCTTCATTCGTCCTCTGTCTCCTCACCGTCCTCCAAGGGGAGGGGGGCCAGCCTTGGGCCTCTTGGGAGGGGGGGGTCGACGCAGAGAAACGGGTGGGGGGGCGGGAGGAGAGGGGGGGAGTATATTGGTGGTGGAGGAGCGGCAGACTTGGAGCCCTCTGAGGGTCTGGGGTGGCCCAGCACTGGTTCCGACCAGCCAGAAGGGGGGGCGAGGTTGGAGGCTCAAGCAGGATTTTTCGTGTGGCCGTCCTCGGCCTCCGAGGGCCGTTTTCTGTCGGACCCCACATCCCTCGTCGAAATTGAACGCAAGTTTTAGCCGCGAACTGGCGGCGCCCCCCGACCCCCAATTTCAATGTTCACGCCGACGCCGGCGACTTCGAGATTTTCTTCGGACCCCGCCGGCCGCGATGCGCCTGTCGACGAACATTGAAATTTGGGGGCGACGGGGGTGGAAAAAACTTGCGTTCAATTTCGACGAGGGTTGCAGGACCGTCAAAAACGAGTCCGCGGTGAGAAGCCGCCACGATTTCCCAAGTCCGGGCGCAGCCGCGGCCACGGCCGTCGCAGCAGCGACCTCGGAAGGGAGCCGGGCGCGGATCTTAAGCGCACTCGGCCCCGTCCCCCCCCCCCCTCGTGGCAGAGATCTCTCTCGGGGCTCACCCAGCGGAGGCCAGCGCCCGGCTCTCGAGAGGAGCGCCTCCGCCGACAAGAGGAGGGCACGATGCCTCTTGCTCGGGAGCCCGCAGCGGCGCCGACGAGGCGACATGTCTCGGGCGCGGGCGGCGGCGAGCGGAGGGCGAAGGTGGAGGAGGAGGAGGAGGAGGATTCGCCGGATGACAAGGACGAGGAGGATGGGGAGGCGCACAGAAATGCGGGGGTGGAGAAGAGGGGACGAGCACGAGCAAGAGCAGGCAGGAGCAGAAGGAGGAGGAGGCAGAGAAGGAGGAGGAGGGGGAGGAGGAGGAGGAGAAGAAAAAAGGAGGAACACGAGCGAGGACAGTAGCAGGTGGAGGAGGGGATGGACGGGGGAGGGACGATGATGATGCTGATGATGATGATGATGATGCTGCTGCTGCTGCTGATGATGATGATGATGATGATGATGATGGTGATGGTGATGGTGGTGGTGGTGGTGATGGTGGTGGTGGTGATAATGATGATGGTGATGATGGTGGTGGTGATGATGATGATGCTGATGCTGATGCTGATGCTGATGCTGACGACGATGGCGACAACGACGATGATGACGATGATAATGATGGTGATGAGGATGATGATGGTGATGATGATGCTGATGCTGATGCTGATGATGATGATGAAGATGATGATGGTGGTGGTGGTGCTGATGCTGATGCTGATGCTGATGCTGATGCTGATGACGATGACGATGACGATGACGATGACGATGATGATGATGATGCCTATGATGATGATGATGATGATGATGATGATGATGATGATGATGATGATGATGATGATGATGATGATGATGATGATGATGATGATGATGATGATGATGATGATGATGATGATGATGTGGTGATGATGATGGTGATGGTGATGGTGATGATGATGATGATGATGATGATGATGATGATGATGATGATGATGATGATGATGATGATGATGATGATGATGATGATGATGGTGGTGGTCATGGGGAGGAGGAGGAGGCGGAGGAGGAGGAGGAGGAGGAGGCGGAGGAGGAGGAGGAGGAGGAGGAGGAGGCGGAGGAGGCGGAGGAGGAGGAGGAGGCGGAGGAGGAGGAGGAGGAGGAGAGGAGCCGTTGCCCGACGCGGGGGCGGGGACCTCCGCCCAGCCCCTGACGCAGGGGCGGGGGCCCCGCGGCGGGCGATCGGCCAGCGCGGCGCCCGGCCGCGCGGGGGAGGCCAGGGCGCCCGCGAGCACCCGCAGAAGCGCCGGCAGCATCGGAGCCACTGGCGCAAAGGCCGGCAAGCTCCGCGAGAGCGCTGCGGGCCCACGCGGGCCTCGGCCACCTGCCCGCCGCGGGCCCACGCGGGCCTCGGCATGCAGAGCAGGCTACTGAGTGAGGAAACGCTGGAAAATGTCAGGCCCGGCGGCCTGTCCCACCTCCTCGCGGCAGCCATGGATGCCGAGGGCCGCGAGCCGTGCCAGCCAGGCGGCGATGCCAGTTCGGCAACCCGACGCGCGCCACCAACCACAGGCACATCGTTGTGGAAGTTCCCGCCACGGCCGGGCCACCCAGCTGCCACAGACGCCAGCGCCAACCACAACAACAACAACAACAACAACAACAAACATTTTAATGCTGTACGCTCTTACTTGCCCGCGAGTCATTCAACACCTATACCCTACACCCTCGATGCCCGCCCTCTTCGTCTTCGATCACACCCCTTTCGGGGGGATTATTTCTCTTTGCTGGGGCCGGCGGGCTTAGACGTACGGGCAAACCGGAACGGGCGGACAATCCTTCGGGGGCGTACATCTCTCTGCCCGCCATTGGAATTGGCGCGGGCCCTGCAAGAGGAGGAGGGGAAGAACGAGGGAGAGTGGGAGGAAGGGGAGGGGGAAGGACGAAGGAAGAGGGAAGATACCACGTTGTGAAGGCGTCCTTGGCGCGTGCGTGGTTCCTGAGCGCCGAAACGCAATTCCAGAATAATTTGTGAGGACGTCGCACGCGAGAGCGCAGTCCTGAGTACATTGTGAGGAAATGACTGACTCGAAGCGGGAGCGCCGTTCCTGAGCAAATTGCACGGAAGTCTCAGGCGGGAGCGGGGGTCCTCACTAAATTGCGAGGAAGTCTCAGGCGGGAGCGCCGTTCCTGAGTCAATTGCGCGGAAATGTCAGGCAGGAGCGGGGGTCCTGAGTAAAATTCGAAGAAGTCTCACGCGGGAGCGCCGTTCCCACGTAAATTGCACGGAAGTCTCAGGCGGGAGCGGGGGTCTTGATTACATTGCGAGGAAGTCTCAGACGGGAGCGCCTTTCCTGAGTAAATTGCGCGGAAGTCTCAGGCGGGAGCGGGGGTCCTGAGTAAAAATCGAGGAAGTCTCAGGCGGGAGCCGTTGTTGTTGTAGCCCGGGGGGCAGGGGCACAGTTTGAGCAGGAAAACTTTCCTTGAGAAAAAACAAGGTGCGAGCCCCGGGGGTGGCACTTCAATCGAAAAAAATCAATGTGCACCGGTGGGGGGGGATCAACAATAATTATTCTTCAAGAATGAGAGTTCAACAACAACAACAACAACAACAACAACAACCACGACGACGACGACGACGACGACGACGACGACGACGACGACGACGACGACGACGACGTTCTCTTGCTGCCGCCCTTAATCCCGGCGCGTGGCTACATGCCTGGGGAAGCGATCACAGGGACAACCGAGGACCCCCAAGACGTTTCCCACGACGGATCCCGCGAGCAACCCCCGCGGCGGCCCCCACGACGACTCCCCCTCCTCGTCCTACCTCCTCGCTTTCCCTCCGCTCGTGAGGAGGGCCACGGCCCCCTGCCCTACGACCTCGCCCTGCCCCGCGACCCTATGCACTGCGACCCCAGCAACCCCCTGGAGCCCGCGGGGGGCATACCTGGGGGAGCGGCCATAGGGGCCGCTGGCCAGCCCGAAGTTGGCGCCGCTTGCCCCGCGGCGGGTTCCAAATCCCGAGTGGCCGCATGCTCTAAGAGGCAGCCCGCGGGGGGAATGCCCATGGAAACGGTCATAGGGAGATCCGACGCCATCGTCTGGAGCCCCCCCAGCCGAAACCTCGCCTGCCCTGCGGTCCCCCGCGACCAACCCGAAAGCCCCCACGACCCGCCACCCAGACGGCCCCCCACGACGGCCACGCGGCGGCCCTCGCGACGGCCCCCAGACGCGGCCTCCGCGACGGCCCGCGCGACGGCCCCTGCAACGGACCCAACGACGGCCATCCGCGACGGCCTCCACGACGGCCTCACCGCGACGACGACGAAGACGGCGCCCGCCACGACGGCGACTACGACCACGACGAAGCCCCTTTCTCTGCGACGCCGACCCCAGCGACCGCCAGGACGGGCGCCAGGACAGACCGACTGACGGCCCAACCGACGCCCCTTTCGACGCCCTTTCCGAAACCTTTCCTTTTGGGGGGCAGTGGCTGCTTCCCCTCGCAGCCGCCACCGTACGCTCAGAAGCGCACTCCCTGCCGGCAAAACACTTCCCCGGCGTCCACTGCGTCGCCCCGCCCCGCCCCTCACCCGACGCCGCGCCCGACGCGCACCCCGCGCCCGACCCCCTGGTGGATTGCTTCGGCTCCTCGGACAGCGGCTCCCCCATAGACCCTACAGGACGGACGACCGGACCGCCGGCCCCAAGACCTTTTGCCCCCCAACCCCGCGCCCGACGGTCTCCACGACGACCCCTGCGACCCTCCGCCCCAGGACCACTCACCCAACCCGACGGCTTCCTCTCCACCGCTACGACGGCCTCCCCCGCCGGCCTCCGCGAGCGCCTTCGGGCCACGACCCCCGCAGCGGCGTCCCGGGACGGCCTCGACGACGGCCGCCGCGACAGACCTCACGACGGCCCCACTTCGACGGAGATGAGGACGACTCTCGCCACGACAGTGACGACCACCACGCTGATGCCTCCCCCCCACACGACTCCGACGCCCACGACCGCCGCGGCCGGCGCGAGGACAGCCACGGCCACCCGGAAGGTCCCCGCGACAGACCCCACGACGGCCCCCACCGCGGCGTCACCGACGGCCCCCACGACGACCACGGCCACCATAACGGCTCCGACGCAGCGGAGGCAGAGGCACTGGAGGAGGGCGCGCCGGCCTCGTGTGCCTTGGGCACACGGTCATGTGCCGCACGCGCGGCACTCCCCCTGAGGCGGGCGGGCGCCACGCCCGCCTGCGCAACGAGAGCGAGAGAGGCGAGCAGCGCGACCGCCAGCCGCTCGCCTCAGCGCAGCGCCCGGACTACGGCTACTTTTACGGCGAGCGCAGCGCCTACGCCCAGTAGAAAGAGCGCGGCTCAGAAGACGGCGGCATCTCCCCAGACGCGGCAAGCCGCGAGGGGAGCAAGGACGACACCACGGACGACTCCGACGCGCCGAACCCACTTTTGCCGCCTGGCGACAGCCGGCGGCAGCTCCACCAGAGAAGACCATCTCCCCCCTTCCCCACGACCCCTCTCTTCACGGCCGCGGCCGCTCAGCCGCGCCGCGCGCCGGACCAGGCTCCCTGTCGACCTCCGCCCTCTTTATTGACGGGCCCTGGACGCGACAGCCGCCCGCAGCGTAGGTAGCCCGGCTCCGCCGACAGGGTGACCGGCGCGCCTGCCTCACCACGCCTAGGCCCGGAGCGCCGCGGCCAGCAGAGGCTACGGAACAGGAGCGGCACCACCTGCGCCCCCCTTTTTTTTGCTGCAGCAGCTGCCTACGACCCACCGAGGACCCCCTCTGCGCGAACGCCACCGCTGTAGGCTCACTTGAACGTCGGCTCACCAACGAGCACACCACCGCTGGCAGCCACACCCAGCCTCACCTCTCCCTCCCTCTTCATATTCATTCCTCCTCGCCGTCCTCCCCCTTCCTCTCCCTTGGCGCGCGCCGTAGCATGGGACACCCCTCGCGTATGGGGGCCTGGTCGACAAGGGGGTGGGTGATACGAGAAGGGCGAGGGCGAGGATCCCGTTCTGCTCTTGCTTGTCCGTGTTCCCCGGTGGCTGCGCCGCCGGGGTGTCTTCAACACCGCGTACCAAAGTAATTGTTAGGCCCTGGCAGTCCTGAGTCGCTCTCGGACATCACTTCTGCAAGGCTGGCCATGAACATCCGCGTAGTCTTGCACATTGTACAGCGCATGCGCGCAGCGCTAAGGCGAGAGCCACAGTTTGAAAAGGGACCGTGCTCAATCCGCGAAATTCTTACAAAGTTCAAAGCGAATGTGCGCGGCGCTAAGGCGAGAGCTGCAATGTTTAAGACGATCGTGCGCGGCGCTACGGCGAGAACCACATTTTGGAAACGAACCGTCCTCAGTCCGTGAGACTTTTGCAACGAATGTGCGTGGCGCTAAAGCGAGAGGGAAATGTTGGAAGCGACCCGCCTTCCATCTGTGAAATTGTTTCCAGCTCCTAAGCCTGAGGACCATAAATGGTAAGGAACTCTCACTCGAAACGCCCGCCCCGCCCTTCCGACTAGCTTCGGGGTGCGACAGGGAACTCATAAGGGACAGGAATGGAGGAGGAGGAGGAGGAGGAGCAGGAGGAGGATGAGGAGGAGGAGCGAGCGACGGAAGAGTAACGGGGCAATTGCAAACAGGAAGTAGGCGCAATGATGTGAGACGGAGGAGGACGAAAATTATGGATGGACGGGGGATGGGAAGGGTGAACATGAAAAATGAGGATGTGGACGAGCGACGAGTTACGAGGAAGAGGAGGGCGAGGATGAGGAGAAGGAGGAGGAGGAGGAGAAGAAGCAGGAGGAGCGGGAGGAGAATTGGAGAGGACAAATGGACGAGGAACGATACATGATGAGATCAGGATGACGATGAGGGAAGGACGAGGGGGGAACGGGAGATGGAGGAGCATGATAATGAGGAGGTCTGAGGAAGGCCAAGAGAAGCAATACATCCGGCAGAGGATTTAGGAAAGAGCATGCGAAGGAGGTGGCGAGGAGGAGAAGAGGGATGGATTAGCAGGTGTAGTGATGGGGAGGAGGAGGAGGAGGAGGAGGAGCGAGGATTGTGCAACGAGAACAGATGAAAATTATATTAAGCACGTAGGAGCGAGGACAACTAGAACGAGGAATGGGAGGATGGGATGTTCGAAAGCATCGCCTGTCTGTGCGCTGATGCTGCCGATCGCATGTTGTGTCCTGCATGTCGCTCTGGCCGTATTCTCTTATCGGAGATATCATGCCGCGCCGCGTGCGAATCCCAAGTGAGGAGCGAACAGATGAAGCTCGTTCCAGGTCTTCCTCTGCGACACTTAGGCGCCCCAGCATTTGTGAGACAACGAGGCAGGTGAAGCGAATGAGAATGCTCAGGATTGTGGAATAGGGTGGTGGCCCGAACGGGGGGAGGACCTCTCGACCAGGTGGTGGGAGGTGGGGATGAGGAGGAAAAGGCGAGATGGCTCAGGAGGTAGCACTAATGTCACTTCATCTCAGGACCTGGCGATTGGGGGTCATGGACGCAGACGACCACATCCAAAACATGGAAAGGATGAAGCAAGTGTAGAGCCGGGACGGGCTGTTGCGCAGCTCCGCGCGTGTAACGCTTTAGCATGCAATATCGCTAACGGTTCTCGTTGCCCCACGGCGCACACGATGTGCACACGCTCGGTCACACGGTTGATGACGGTAGAAGGCAGCATCGTCTACGCTTCGTCCGTGTTCGATTGCTTTCGATTTGCGCGCCGTGTGCCTGGGCAAGGTGGGAGCCTTAAGTTCACATCGGATTGGAATTCAAGCACTCAGCGGTTGCGGTCATTTCTGTTGCATTGCTCGCGGTGGCCAGCAGCCCGAGCGCGCATGTCGTACATCGCTGTGCTGTGGTGGTCATGGCCAGTCGTGGTTGGCACCGCCTTGACACTCGCAAACATGTGACCCTGTAGTTCCTACACGGGGCAATCTGAACCTAGAGGTAACCCAGATTGCAGAGCATCTCGGATTTGGGCTGAGAGCGAGTCCGTGCGACCTCAAAGTTGCACGTGGTTTAGCGTATCATGCACTCTGATTTCGTTGATGGGCGTGCAGGACATGCACGATTGGCTCTACAATTCACGGCCTCTGTGGTCTGAGCAGCCCATCCCGCGCAACCGTCTTCGTTTGAACTGTCTCATGATTCACTCAAGGCGCACGAAATATGGTGCACGTGCGCATCGCCCGTATTCTCTTGAGTAAGTGTGGCGTCTTCATTTGGTTGCGCATTCCAGCGCATATGGGCTACGTCAGACTTGCCAAAATCGCAGCCCCCTCTTCCCCCGCAGTGACAGTGTCACAGAAGTCGCGCTCACGGACGACCTTGCCGATCTGCAGGCCACTTCCTTGCGGGAGGAGGGCGCCCGAGTGAGAAGCGGAGGAGTGAGGCCACAGTTGACGAAGCGGCATGCCAGGGTTCCCAGAACTCCTACGTAGTGATTCTTCTCAACCTCGACCCCCACAGATCCGGACCCCTTCCCGAGGACCGCTTTTCCACCCCAGGTCTTTCTCTCTTGGCGGCCCCGAGGCCTGGAAAGGGCCCCCGGTGGCCGAAGCGACCAAACACTTCCCATCGCACTTCTGTGCACGACGGGGGGAGGCGAGGATATCGGGCCGCAGGCGAGGGGGAGTGCGATGGAGTGCCTGCACGGAGAGGTTCGGGTTTCCCAGCGACGGCCGTGCGCAAAGGGACCTCTGCGCGCACCTCGATCGCCCAAGCACCTCCCAGGATTCTTTCGCATGTGCCGCCTCGGCATCGTTGCCCCTCTCGCCCACGGTCGCCTCTTCTGCCCCTCTCGTCGTCGTCCACTCCCTCTTCCGCCCTCAGGAACGGCTTCGTTACCCTCCTGCACACTGTCCATTCGCCCCTTTTGCTCTTCCACGTCCCGTTCCTCATCCTCATTATGTTGCTTCTGCTCCTGAACCGAATTCCAGTCTTACCCAGGATGGGCTGAGTAGGAGGGGGATGAGGAGCATGAGCATGAGGAGGAAGGGAAGGAGGAGGAGGACGAGGAGAACACTCTTACTGCTCTCGACAAAAGACCATTTGCTATCCACGCCGGGTGCTCGACCCGAGTCTATCATTACCTCGTTACACATGGTGCACACGATCTGGAACGCTCTGGAAGCCCTGAATCCCATACACGATGACATTCCTTGGGGACACACGTTTTGATTCCGCTGGTTCCTTCCAGCGGAGCCACCCTTGTGTTGTTTCCGCCGGTCCTCCGCCACCTTCCGCCGAAAAGGGGATGATGATAACTCCGCCTGGCCCCTCGAAGGTGAAGAAGAGATGAAGAGGAGTAAGGGCGATGCTTGCGATTTGCTGGAGGAGGAGGATGAGGATGAGGAGGAGGGGAAGGGAAGGAAACGGGGGAGATGGCGGTGTAGAAAGGAGACTGACGAGGAGGAGGAGGAGGAGGAGGAGGAGGACGAGGACGAGGAGGAGGAGAAGCAGGAGGAGGAGGAGGAGGAGAAGGTGAAGCAGCAGGAAGCACAGCCAAGCTAGAAAGCATGCGGCAGAGCACGTCCTGCGGGCACGTCCGCGCCAGGGCACCGACGTCAGCGACAAAGATGCAGCCCAGCTGCCCAACGGCGACGCGGTGGCGCAGACGCGGTTCAAGAAAATAGCCAACGGCACTTGCGCGGACCATTCGGCGCATTGCTTTCCTACGTGGGGGGGGAGGGGGGTGGGGGAGGGCGAGGGCAGGAAGAGGAGGGCGATGGGAGGGCAGGGAGAGAAGGGCGAGGGGAACAGGCAGGGGGATTGTGTGCAGGGGGGGAGCGCAGGAAGAGGAGGGGCGAGTGGAACAGGAGGGGGATTGGGGAGGAAGGAGCCAGGTGGCAGAGGGAGGGGCACCAGCTCACTGGTAAGGTGAAGGTGGTCGCGCACGACTTCTCATTACCTGTTTGGCGAGAATGCGGGGCTGTAGGGGGCGTGTGCCGCTGTCCTGGCTCGCCCATGGCTTGCTCTGGGACCTCCGTCTTCAGGCTCCCCGGGAAGTTCTTCGGCCTCTCCTCCTGAGTGGTGATGGGGGGTGGCGCAAGAGATGGGGAAATGGGGCAGAGAGGACGGGAGGGACGCGCCCTGTGACAGGGGCGACGGGCCGCGAGGGGGTCAGGGGGCAAGGGGCCGAGAGGTCTCGGGCCATCGGGCAGGCATCGGCTGCGCGCCAGAGTGACCTCTTGCCGGAGCGACCTCTGGTGCGGGCACGCAACGTGTTGCGACAGCAGCGTCTTGCGCGCTCGGGTTCGGCCTCCGCGCGGCCCCCAGAAGCTGCGCGCCAAGGGTCACTGTTGCCTGGGGTCACTCTTGCGTGTAGCCGAGGGGGGCCCGGGCGCCTCGGACAGGAGCCTCGGGGGGCGGCTGGACGGCCTTGATCTGCACCTCGATCTGCAGTTCGCTTTGAGCTCTACATGCCAGATAAGATAAATATGCGTAGTTCGGACCTCTTACAGTATAGTGCAGTACCCGAGTTGTGTAGCACCCCCTAGGTGTTGCAGCTCAGCTTTTGTGCATGGTGATGTTCGTCGCTCGCGCTTAGGAATGCCCTCTTAAAGGGCCGCGGATTTCGTCTGCCTCTCTTGAAGGGCGCTGTCTGCCCCTGGACGGGAGGCGTTCGTTCGCTTTGGGCTGCGTAGGGCCCGCGCCCTCAGGAGCTCGGCTTCCGCCCGATCTTGACGAAGGCCCTGCCTCTTGCCCGCGCCCGCCCGGGCGCCCCGCTAAGCGGCGGAGCAGGAGGAGGAGAAGGAGGAGGAGGAGGAGCATGAAGAGGTGACGGTGACAGTGATTGTGAGGGTGATGGTGCTGGTGATGCTGGTGATGGTGGTGATGGTGGTGATGGTGGTGATGGTCATGGTGATGCTGATGATGGTGATGACGATGATAATGGTTATGGTGGTCATGCTGATTATGGTGATTGTGATGATGATGATGTTGCTGATGATGCTGATGATGCTGATGATGATGATGACGGTGGTAATGGTGATGGCGATAGTGATGGTGATGATGGTGGTGGAGATGATGATTGTGATGGTGATGATGACGATGACGATAACGATGACGATGATGATGATGATGATGGCGATGGTGGTGGTGATTGTGATGATGAGCGATAACGGCAATGATTATGTTGATGATGTTGATGTTGATGTTGATGTTGCGGATGGTGACGGTGATGATGATGATGATGATGATGATGATTATGATGATGATGATGATGATGATGATGATGATGATGATGATGATGATGCGGAGGAGGAGGAGGAGGAGGAGGAGGAGGAGGAGGAGGGTGAGGAGGAAGAGAGGGGGGAAGAGAAGGGAGAGGGGGAGGACTAGGAGAAAGAGGGAGACGGTCTGCAGGAGAGGGTAATGATGGTGGAGAAGGTTGAGGAGGAGGAGGAGGAGGAGTAGGAGGAATAGGAGGAGGAGCGGCAGCGGGAAGGAACATGAGGAGAATGAGTATGTGTGTCATGTCATGAGGAAAAGAGGAGGAACAGGAGGATGATAGTAATAATACTAGGGGAGAGGAGTGCAGCTGCTTGGGCGGCATGGGGTGCTATTAAATGGCCGGCATCCTCGTCCATTTGCCCAGCCGTGCTTACAGTTTACGACAGGCTCACAGGCAGCTGGCTAGTGATTTAGCCTTAGGGAGTTGTGTAGCCACGTCCAGAACCCACAGAAAACATGTCGACAACGCGGACGGAGAACTCGTTGGGGCCACATCTGCCTTCACAAGTGTTGTATTATGCGGCGCCCGGGTGTATTGGAACGCCTCGGATATTCGCGGATGTCTCAGGGTGGCCTCGGATAGATATGAATTTGGCGCGGATAGCCAGGAAAATTCTCGAAAGACGTGCGGCCTCCCCGCTGCCCTTGTGAGAAGCAGATCCTCTGGCACGAATCCACCGTCCACTTGCCTTTGTGCGTTGTTGCAGCCTGCTCATCTAACGTAGTTCCCAATGCCTCTTCCATCAGCCAGCCGAACTATCACTATTCAACGAGCGTGCCGCCTGGGCGACTGCCAGTCACGAAGCACCGCGGTGTGTGTGTGTGTGTGTTGGTGTGTGTGTGTGTGTCTGTGTTTTCTCCGCCTCGACACTGCGCGCGAGGCCGCGACCGTCAAAAAGAGAATGTGTGTGTGTGCCTGTGTGTCTCTGTGTGTGTGTGTGTCTGTATGTGTGTGTGTGTGTGTCTGTATGTGTGTGTGCGTGTGTGCGTGCATGCGTGTATGCGTGTCCGTGTGTGTGTGTATGTGCCGTCTCCCTCCCGCTGCCGCCAGGCGCCTCCTCTTCCCTCCTCGCGCATCGTGGCTTAATTCGCCTTCGTATGGCCTACCACCGCCCTATCTTCAGCGCAGTGACTCTGCCTAGCCGCCGACGCAAAAGTGTGTGTGTATGTGTCGTGTGCGTGGTGTGTGTGTGTGTTGTGTGGTGTGTGTGGTGTGTGTGTGTGTGATGTGTGTGGTGCGTGTGGTGTGTGTGTGTGTGATGTGGTGTGTCTTGTGCGTGTGGTGTGTGTTGTGTGTAGTGTGTTGTGTGTTGTGTGTTGTGTGTTGTGTGTGATGTGTGCAATGCACTGTGTGTTGTGCGTGTGTTGTGTGTAGTATGTGTTGTGTGTTGTGTGTTGTGTGGTGCGCATTGTATGTTGTATTGTGTGGTGTATGTTGTGTGTTGTGTGTGTTGTGTGTGTTCTGTGGTGTGTGTTGTGTGTGTTGTGTATGTGTGTGTTGTGTGTTGCGTGTTGTGTGCGTTGTATGTTGTGTGGTGTTCGTTGTGTGTGTGTTGTGTGATGTATGTGCTGTCTGTGTTGTGTGTTGTGTGTTGTGAATGCTGTGCATGTCGTGTGTTATGTGTTGTGTGTTGAGGTGTGTGTTGTGTGTTTGGTGCGTTGTGTGTGTGTTGTGGGGTGTGTGTTGTGTTTGGTATGTGGTGTGTGCTGGGTGTTGTGTGTCGTATGTTGTGTGTTGTGTGTTGTGTGTTGTGTTGTGTTGCGTGGTGTATCGTGCGTTGTGTGTGCTGTGTGTGTGTTGCGCAGTGTGTGCGTTGTGTGTTGTGTGTTGTGTGTTGTGTGTGTTGTGAATTGTGTGTGTGCTGTGTGATGTGTGTTGGTTGTGTTGTGTGCGTTGTGTGTATGGTATGTGCTGTGTGCGTTGTGTGTAATGTGTGTTGTATGGTGTGTATGTTGTGTGTTGTGTGCGTTGTGTGTTGTATGTGTTGTATGTGTTGTGTGTTGTGTGTGTTGCGTGTTGTGTGTGTTGTGTGTTGTGTGCTGTGTGTTGTGTTATGGTGTGTTATGTTTGTTATGTGTGTTAGATATGTTGTGTGTTGTGTGTTGTTTGGTGTGCGTGTCTTGTGTGTGATGTGTGTTGTGTGTTAGGTGCTGTGTGTGTTGTGTGTGTTGTGTTATGTATGTTCTGTGTGTTAGGTATGGTTTGTGCTGTGTGTGTTGTGTGTAGTACGTGTTTTGTGTTTTGTGTGTTGTGTGTTGTGTGTTGTCTGTGTTGGGTGCTGGGTGTCGTGTGTGTGTGTGTTGGGTGTTGCCTGTTGTGTGTTGTGTGTGTTGTGTATGGTGTGTGCTGTGTGCATTGCGTGTGGTGTGTGGTGTGTGTGTTGTGTTTGCTGTGTGTTGTGTGTTGTGTGTGTTGTGTGTTGTGTGCGGTGTGTGGTGTGCGTTGTGTGTGTTGTGTGTTGCTTGTTGTGTGTTGTGTGTGTTGTGTGTTGTGTGGTGCGTGTGTTGTGTGTTGGTGTTGTAAACCCTAAACCCTAAACCCTAAACCGTTGTGTATGTTGTGTGTTGTGTGTGTGTGTTGTGAATGTTGTGTGTATTGTGCGCGTGTGCGTGTTCGTGTGTGTGTGCGTGTGCGTTTTCGTTTGCGTGTGCATGTGCGTGTGCGTGTGCGTGTGCTTGTGCTTGCGTGTGTGTGTGCGTGTGCGTGTGCGTGTGCGTGTGTGTGTGTGTGTGCTTGTCTGCCTGTGCTTCTGTGTGTGTGTGTCTGTGTGTGTGCGCGTCTGTGAGTGCCTGTGTTTGTGTGCGTGAGTGTGTGTGTGTGTATGTGTGTCTGTGTGTGCGTGTGTGCGTGTTTGAGTGTGTGCGTGTGTGCGTGTGTGCGTGCGTGCGTGTGTGTGTGTGTGTGTGTGTGCGTCTGTGTATCTGTGTGTGCGCGTGTCTGTGTGTCTGTCTGTGTGTGCTATGTGTTGAGTGTGATGCATGTCTGTCTGTCTGTCTGTGTGTGTGGGCCTGTGTGTCTGTGTGATTATGTGCGTCTCTTTCGCCGTGTGTGCTTCTGTGTTTCTGTGTGTGTCTGTCTCTATGTGCGTCTTTGTGTATATGCCTGCGTGTCTGTTTGCCCGCGTGTGTGACTGTTTGAGTGTATGGATGTGTGGGTGTGCGTGTGACTGTGGATGTGGGTCCGGCTGTGGGTTGTATATGTATATTTGTGTGTATGTTTGTCTGTTTGTGTGTGTGTTGTGTGTCTCTGTGTGGCTCTGCGTGTCTGTCTGTCTGTCTGTCTCTTTGCGTGTCTCTCCGTGTGTTTCTCTGTGTGTCTCTCTCTGTGTCTCTCTGTCTGTTCGCTTTACTCGCCAGCGCAGTCCCTCTGACTAGCCGCCGACGCAAAAGTGTCTCTCTGTCTGTCTCTCTGTGTGCATCTCTGTGTGCATCTCTGTGTGCCCCTCTGTGTGTGTCACTCTGCGTCTCTCTCTGTGCGTCTCCCTGCGTGCCTCTCTGTGTGTCTCTCTGTATGTCTATGTGTCCACGTGTCTGTGTATGTGTGTCTGCGTGTGGGTGTGTCTCACTGTGTCTCTGTGTGTCTTTGTGTGTCTCTCTGCGTGTCTCTGTGTGTCTCTCTGTGTCTCCCTCTGTCTGTCTCTCTGTGTGCCTCTCTGTTTGTCGCTTTGTGTGTCTCTCTGTATCTCTTTCTCTATATGTGTCTCTCTTCGTGCCTCTCTGTGTGTCTCTGTGTCCGTGTGTCTGCGTGTCTGTGTGTGAATGTGTGTCTGTGTGCCTGCGTGCCTTTGTGTGTTCTTACAGTATGTGTCTATCTGTATGTTTGTCTGCGTCTGTGTGTCTCTGTGAGTATATGTGTCTGTGTCTGCTGTGTGTGTGTCTGCGTATGTGTGTCTGTGTATGTGTCTTTGTGTGTGTGTGTCCGTGCATGTGTCTCTGTGTGTGTGTCTCTGTGTGTGTGTCTCTGTGTGTCTGTGTGTGGGTGTGTCGCTATGTGTGTCTTTGTATGTTTCTGTGTGTACCGGTGTGTGTATGTGTGTCTGTGCCTGTGTCTGTGCCTGTGGCTGTGGTTGTGTGCCTGTATGTGTGCCTGCGTGTGTCTCGGTGTGTGTTTGTGTGTGTATCTGTGTGTGCGTCTGTGTGTGAATGTCTTCGTGTGTGTCTGTGTGTGTTGCCAATCCGCCGGAGCAGTCGCCCTCTGCCCAGCCGCCGACGCAGAAAAGTCTGTGTATGTTTGCGTCTGTGTGTGCCTGTGTGTGCCTGTGTGCCTGTGTGTCTGTGTGCGTGCGTGTCTCTGTGTGCGTGTGTGTGTGTGCGTAGGTGTGCGTGTATGTGCGGGTGTGAACATGTGTGTTCGTGTGGATGTGTGTGTGTGTGTGTGTGTGTTTGCGTGTGTGTGTGAGGGTGTGCGTGTGTGCGTGTGTGCGTGTACGGTGTGCGGTGTGCGCCGTGTGTGTATTTGCGTGTGTGTGTGTGGGTGCGTGTGCGTGTGCGTGCGCGTGTTTGTGTGCCTTCGCGTGTACGTATTCGTATGTGTGCGTGGGTGTGCATTTGCCTCAATATATGTCTGCGTATGTGTCCGTATCCGTCTCTGTGCCTGTGTTTGTGTCTGAAATTGTCTGTCTGTCTGTCTGTATGTCTGTCTCTGTGTGCCTGCGTGCGTCTTTGTGTTGTGTATGCTGTGCGCTGTGTGTGTGCTGTGTGTTTGTGGGCGCTTGTCTGCGTCTGTGTCCGTGTCTGTGTCTGCGTGTCTGCGTGTGTGCGTCTGCGTCTGCGTCGAGCTACCAAGGGGGCAGCGTCCGAGCCACGGGCAACAGCACACAGCCCTGGACAGAAAGGCCACCGAGGCCAGGGGTCCCTCGAGGCTCCATCAGGCTAGAGGGCACGGTGCACGGCCAAAGAAGCCTGCTCAAGCACCGCGGGCGCATCGGGCCTCGCGCCAGCGGCCCCGACCCTACCCCAGAGGCTTCCTCGAGGTGGGCAGGAGCCCAGGGGCAAGGCGGCCCCGTCGCCTCGCCGCCTCCCGCTGCGCGGGAGCCGCACGACGGCGCAGGGCGGGGACGGCGCCAGCACGAGGGTTCACGAGCAGCCGGCCCCGTCTCTTCGCGACCCCGCCACACCTCCTGCAGTATACAAACGAGGGACATGGGAAGATTTCGTTACCTCTGTCCGAGGTGATCCGGCAGCTGCCACCGCCGCGTTCCCCCGCCTCCGAGCCAGGCTGGAGATCAACGCCAGAAAGACGCAGGTGTGGTCTCCGACGGGGCCAGAGGCCGCACCTCCAGAACTGAGCGCGCACTTCGTGCAAGTGCCCCCCGTGCTCTGCACGCACCTGCGGGCGCGGGGCGACGTGGCCGACGCTCCCTTCGAGCTGCGCCAGAGCAGCGGCATTGAGCAGGCGGCTGGGCGCTTGACGCAGCTCTGGAATGCCATCTGGCCGCTTGGAGAGCGCACGGTCGGCGAGCACGGGCTCTCGCTGCAAGCGATCGGGAGCTTGCGCACCTACGCGGGCGCTGTGAGAGAGCGCGTCCTGCGCGCGCAGCTGGCCGGCGAGGCGGAGGCGGCCCGCTACAACGCTTTCCTGGCGGGCTACTGGGAGGAGCTCGCCGGGCGGCCCTTGGGCGCCACGGCGCGGGAGATCCTCGGCCTCACCCTGAAGCTCTCTGGCGCGGGGCTGCAGTGGGACACTGCGCGGCGAGCCGCGGCCTTCTGGGCCAGCTGGACGCGGCGCCGCGACTCGGCGAGGCCTTCTCCGACGCACGGACGGAGCTCTCCCTCCAGGGCGCGGATCCCGCGCCGGGCGCGGATCCCGCGCCGGGCGCCTCCTGGCTAGACGCTCTGCAGCACCCGGCGAAGCAGAGCACGCTTGCGCAGGCTGTGCATCAGAAAACCCACGTTGCCCTACGGCAGCATCTGCGCAGCTACGAGCGAGCGACGCCCCCGGGAGCCGGAGGGCCTGGGGGGCTCCTCGGCTACCCGAGCGATCCCGCGCGCTCGATGGAGGACCTGCTCTGGGCCACGGAACTTCGTGCCCGCTCGCATGTGCCCAGGCCTGAACGCGCGCAGGCAGAGCTCCAGGCGGCCGCGCAGACCTGCTAGAACCACGAGTGCTTACAAGGTCGTGAGCTGCGCGGTCCATACCCAGCTGGCCCTGCAGCGCCGACGGGCAACTGGACTGGCTTGACTGCGCTATTCTTCTTCCTCCTCCTCCTCCTCCTCCTCCTCCTCCTCCTCCTCCTCCTCCTCCTCCTCCTCCTGCTACTCCTCTTATGTTTATTATTTTTCCTCTTCCGCCTCATCATCATCAGCATCCTCCTCCTCCTCCTCCTCCTCCTTCTTCCTCCTCCTCTCGAGCCCTTTCTTCTTCCCCGCCCCTTGCCTCCAGCGGGCACGCGCGCGCGTAACAGTGGGGGGGCCAGCGGTGCAGGGCCCCTGGCCGTGCGTCCGTCGCTTCCGCCTCCCGTTTCCCTCCCCGCTCCTTCCTGCCCTCCCTCCTCCCTCCTCCTCCTCCTCCTCCTCCTCCTCCTCCTCCTCCTCCTCCTCCTCCTCTCCCTCCTCTCCTCCTCCTCCTCCTCCTCCTCCTCCTCCTCCTCCTCCTCCTCCTCCTCCTCCTCCTCCTCCTCCTCCTCCCTCCGACGGAACACCCAGAAGTATGTGCCGCTGTCTCGGCTGGCGGGCCTCTGAGGCCAGTCCAAATACGGGACCGACCCGGGCCCAGGAGCGCCGTGGCAGCCGGCCCCAACGAAGGATTGCCCAGGCCGCGGCGGCAGCGTGACGCTGGACTTGAACCCCAAAAGCCGGGGGCCCTTGCGCGACGGGCGCAGGGACTCTCTCGCGTGCGAGCGGGGGCAGGGGTGGGCGCGGGCGCGGGTGCGGGTGCGTGCACGCGCGGGTTTGTCCGCGCGCGCCCCCGGCCCCCGCTGCCGCCCCTCGGGGGCGCCGAGGGAGGTCAGCTGCAGCATGGCTGCGCACGCCCTGGGCCTCGTCGAGACGGACCCCGCGATCTCGGAAGCCGAGCCAGAGCGTCCAGAGGCCGCAGCAGCGCTCTCCCCCCCCCCACCCCAGAGGAGGGAGAGAGGGGAGGAGGAGGAGGAGGAGGAGGAGGAGGAGGAGGAGGAGGAGGAGGAGGAGGAGGAGGAGGGGAGGCGTTTCTCGCTCTTTCTCTCACTCCTGGAGCGCCCTCGTCGCCATCGCTGGAGATCCGCTTCGAAATGCTGGCCGGAACGCACCCGGGGAACAAATCCAGAGGTGCCCCCAGAGAAGTGTATAAATTTCGATCCGATCGATCCGATTCGGGGTTCGAGTTTTGACTTTTGTCGTCGGTCATCTCGTAGGTTGCCGCATGTGTTCCGCGGATGTCTGGATCGTCCAGAACTGCCGCTGAAGACCCGGGGTATGACCCGAACGCCGACGTAAGGGCCTATTTCGACCCGATCGATCCGATTCGATATCGATTTCGGCTGGCCCGATCCGATTCGATTTCGATGCTATGCGGCCCGATGTTCGCATGGCGTTGTTGTTGTGCCTCCTTGCGCGCCCAATCCGATTCGATTCCGACTCAGTGCCAATGCAGCCCGATCCGACATACGTTCCGATCCAATCCATTTCCCGATTGGATATTGACTGATCTTGCCGCAGAAGGGGAGGAGAGAAAAGGGACGGGGTGGGGGATCACAGGGATTACAGCCGTCGCGCAGCGATACATGGTACACTCCACCGCTTGATCACGAGCTCGAGTTTCAGCGTTTGGGGACTTGGTCGGGAGCAGTCCTATCGAGATGCTCACGGTTGGCTTTGGAACTGGGTAAATGACATGGTTCGGAAGGGAAGGAGGGAGGATGGGCCGCCGGCCGGTGGTGCAGCTGGGGGATCAGGGGGAAGATCGAGGCCTCCCAAATTGGGGCTCGAGAGCCGTATCCATCGAGCAGCGATGTAATACATTCCACCAATTGGGCACGAGCTCGAGGCTCCGCATTCGGGAAACTGACCAGGAGCAGTTCTATCGATGCGCTCACGACGAGCCTTGGAGATGGGTTTCTGACATGGCTCACTGAAGGAGGGGGGAGCGAGGGAGGAAGGGAGGGATGAAGGAGGGGCCGCAGGCCAATAGTGCAACCTGGTGGAGGAGCGGCTGATGGACAACATTTGTTACGTTGATTGGAAGACCCCCCGCGCCCCCAACTCAACATGGGAAGGCGGCGCCGTGTGTCCGACCCCATCTACCGCGGACTTAGTTGGGGAGGTCTCCAGAAGAACCGGGGGGAGTTACGCGACTCCAGAAGGAGGACGAGATGAGAGAGAGAGGTCCAGGAATCGACGGCGATCCCAGGGGAAAGTCAGCGGGGGCGGGCCTTCTCAGAAGCCTCGGAGGGCGCGGGGCCTTCTGAGAAGCTTCCCGAGCCCTCCCCGAAGCTACGGAAGACATCTCAGAAGGCGGGTGGGAGCTGCGAGGCAGCCCCGCCGCCTTCCGAGGAGGCCTTCTCCCTTTCCCCCCCCCCCCGGGCGCCCCGACGACGCGAAGTCGCTCCACCTCGCCAGCCGTCCGCCCCTTCTGGCCTGCCGCCTCCGCTCCGCGAGGCCCTCGGGGCCTGGCGCTGCCGGAGCGGGGCCGAGAGGGGCCCGCAGCGCGGCGCCTGCCGCGCGGGCCGACGCGGCGTGCCGGCTCCGGCCGGCGGCCAGCGGCCAGGCCGGCTGGCCCGCTCCGCGGCCAGGCGAGTCACCCCGCGGCCGAGCCCCTCCGCCGGGCTGCGCGCGCCGAGGCCGAGCGCCATGGAGGGCCGCGCGCAGCGCCGCTCTCGGGCACGGCGCGCCCTGGAGTCAGTTTGTTCGTTATTATTTTCATATAATATATATATATATATATATATATATATATATATATATATAATATATACATACATACATACATACATACATACATACATACATACGTACGTACATACATACATACATACATACACATACATACATACATACGTACATACATACATACAACATACATACATACGTACGTACATACATAAATACATACATACATACATATATGGAAATTTTAGTTCTTTTACAAAAAAAAAAAAAAAAAAAAAAAAAAAAAAAAAAAAAAAAAAAAAAAAAAAAAAACGGGCGTTGTCGGAGGGGGGGGCAGGGGTGCGGGAGGGGGGGCTGGTAGCCTCACGATTCGCGCAGGCGCCGTCTGGGAATCAGCTGCAGGCCTCGGAACAAGACAGCGAACGTTCACACATTCATCGGTCAACGCCTCCCCTCCCCCCAGTGTTCAAACTTGGCGGTGGGTCTGATCAGTTGCACTTCAGCCGCAGTCTCCTCTGCGCGTACCAACTTTGTAGTGTTTCCCTCTACCGTACCCCTGGCAATTCCCAAAAGGCGGCGGCGCCAATGTGACGTTCTCAGATGGGTGCGGGGGGGGGCGGCATCTCTGGCAACGGCCGTCATCGCGACTCCTAATAGGCTGGGGGGCCTTGCAGCGGTTCCGTGTTGCGGACAGCGCGGATCTTTGGATGGGCCCTTTAAGCCCCTTCCAAGCAGAAATGGCTGGTCCAGGACGCCCGTGCAACTTCCGACGGGCTGCATGCTGCCGCAGCCGCGTGAAACCTTCAGCCGCGAGGGGCTGGAGGAGGGGCAGTCGCGAGCCGCGCCAGCTCCGGCAGCGACCAGAGACCTCCTGCAGCAGGGTGTCCCGGCAGAGCTCGTTGAGCGCGCTGGCCACGTCTAGGGAGAGCACGGCGGCGCCGCCACGCACGGAGCCCGCCTCCCCGGTGACCCGGGCGGCGTCTGCCACGCAGCGTGGGGTGGACCAGGGTTGCCCCCGCGGTTTTCGCAGTGGCGATTTCGACGCTTGACGAGTACATGGAGGCGGCGGCGGGCCGCGTGGAACCCCCGAGGCCAGGGTGGTGGCCTGCCTCGACGACGTGTGCGGCGTGGGCAGCCCGCGCGCGCTGGCACGACCACTCCTCGCAGCGCCAGAGCTCCTTTCGGCGCAGGGCCTCCGCTCGAGCGCACGGAAGACAAAGGTCTGGATCCCGCGCGCGCTGCCGTTGCCTGCATGGGCCGCTGGCCAGGGCGGAAGTGCCCGAGCTCACGCGCGTGGGGGGCATTCTGCCTTGAGTGCGCCACGCCGTGGGAGCAAACCCGGGCGCCGACCCCGCGAGGGAGAGTTTCTCGCCAGCTGCCGCCCCGCAGGTGGCCCGGGACCACCTCGACGCCTACCTCGCGGCCCTCCGACAGCTCCGAGGATACCAGCTGCGCACCCAGGACGAGCTCACGTTGTTCTGCACCGTCGCCAACGGCGCTGCCCTGCGCCACGCGACGGCGCACCTGCTGGACGAGGCGCGGTGTCACGTCTACGACGCGGTGGTCCTCGGCAACGCGCACGAGGTCTTGAAGCCGCTCACCGGGCACCAGGAGCTCCACGCGCGCGACCAGGCCCTCCTGCCCGTCGCCGTTGGCGGCCTCGGGCTCTAAGGCCTCGCGCACCGCAGGCTGTCGGCCTTTGCGGGGGACTGGCGGGCGCGCTGGGCCAGCGTTTGCAGCGGGCTCGGGCCACCTAGCCTCAATGCCTTCCAACAGATTCGCTTGGCGTGAGCTGCCCGATCCGGCGGCAAGGCGTCCAGGAGCCGCCGCTGGCGCACGTGCTGCTCTGGCGCCGCGAGGGCCTTGGCCATCGTCTCCGCGGCGGCGCAGAGCCAGTCCGCGCTGCGTGCCAGAACCGCGCGGCCCGCGCCCTCGGCCCCCACCCGCCGGGGCTGCCACGTCGGCGGCGGCACGACCCTGCGCCGCGATGGCGTCGGGGACTGACTCGCCCGCTGGCCGCGCGCCCGCGGCGCGACAGACGTGGACACGGAGCAGTTCGCGCCCGCGCGGGACCGGCGGCGCGCGGGCGGCTGCGTCGAGGCAGTTAGCCTTGACGCAGCCCACACCGACCCCGCGGCCGCCGCGACCAACGTCGGCTGGACGACGCCTTCGGCGCGGACACGCCCGCGGGCTGGGGCCGCGCCGCACGGGACGGCGCTGCCGCAGCGGGGTCGGGGGGACGCAGGCACCGACGCTATCCAGGCCCAGTTTTCACAGCCTTCGCGCTGGAGGCCCTAGGGCGCGTTGGGACGGAGGCGCAGGCGCTCCTCCGCACTAGGGCGCGCGGCGACGCCGGACGCCGCCGTGCTGGCGCTGATTCGCCAGGGGCCCGCGGCGACGCTGCAGCGCGGAAGCGCTGAGGCCTTCCGCCCCGCTTGCCTCGGCGCGCGCCGGGCGGCGCGCCGCGGGGCAGGCGGCGCCGAGCCGGCGGCCCGCCGCGCGCGCAAGCTGAGCTCGGGCGCGCGCTTGGCCAAGCCTGGCGGCAAGCCGCCCGAGCGCGCGCTGCCCCGGCACTTCGCCGCGGGCGCGGGGCCCGCGCCAAGGGCGGCTGGGCGGCGGCGGCACGGATGCAGCTCGGGGGCGGGGCACTTGCCAAGTCGGCGCGAGGCTTCGGCTAAGTCGGCGCAAGGCAGAGAGCTCCAAGGAGAGCAGGGCCAGCAGCGGCGCGGCGCTGCTGGACGGCCGCGAGCGCGGCCGCAGCTGGGGCGGCGGGAGGGCGCCGCGCGCGGCGGCGGCAGCTTCGGTGGCGCCGCGCGGCGGCGGCGGCGGAGGCTGGCGGACGGCCGCTGCGGCGGGGCGCGCCCGCCAGCTCCGAAGCGCGGCCGGGAGCTAGCTGCACGGGCGGCGACGCGCCGGGCAGCTGCGGCGCCGCCAGGGAGCGCCCGCGGCGGCAGCGAGCCGGCCGCGGCGCTGGCGGGCAGCGGCGGCGCGCGGGCAGGCGCGCGCGCGGCGCATCGCCCAGTCTCCCGAGAGGCCCCGCGGATTCGGGAACCTTCGGGGTTGAAGGCCGAGGAGGAGGAGGAGAAGGAGGAGGAGGAGGAGGAGGAGGAAAGGGAGGAAAAGGAGGAGGAAAAGGAGGAGGGAAAGGAGGAGGAAAAGAAGGAGGAAAAGGAGGAGGAGGAGGAGGAGGAAAGAAAAGGAGGAGAAAAAGGACGAGGACGAGAAAGAAAAGGAGGAGGAAAAGGAGGAGGAAAAGGAGGAGGAGCAGGAGCAGGAGGAGGAGGAGGAGGAGGATGAAGAGGAGGAGGAGGAGGAGGAGGAGAAAAACGAGGACGAGGAGGAAGAGTAGGAGGAGGAAGAGGAGGAGGAGGAGGAGGAGGAGGAGGAAGAAGAAGAGGAGGAGGAGGAGGACGAGGATGAGCACGGGGAGGAGGAGGAGGAGGAGCAGCAGCAGGAGCAGGAGCAGGAGGAGGAGGACGAGGACGAGGACGAGGACGAGGAGGATAAGGAGGAGGAGGAGGAGGCCGAGGTGGCGGTCAGCGCGGCAAGCCCGCGATTGGCATCAACATTCGCAACCTCATATGTTTCTCTTGTCCTAGGCGTGGGACCACGCCGACACCCACAACAAAGACGATAAGTAGCAAGATCACCTGCCTTTCACAGGCGGCTTCGTCGACAACACGTTGACGCTCGAGTTTTACTGCGCCTACACAAGGCACGAGAACAGTTGCAAGCTTATCACAGCGCACAGCAAACGCCGCGACATCCACCACACGATCCATCAATAGCACCGTGGCGATCAAGATCGATCCGTACGCCGAGCAGGGGACCACCAACGCGCTCAACTACGACAGCGATTGGCGCGGGACTGGACAAGTGAAAGAGCTACCACTGGGCAGTGCGGCGGGAGGCCAAGCATCCCGACACCTCCTGGATCAAGGGCGATTGGAAAAAAACAACAAAGCATCCAACGGTAAGGGCAAAGGCAGCTTCCCCAAGCCACGCGACGACGTTCTCGACGACATAGCCAGGCCGTTGAAGGGCAATAACAAAGACAGAAACGGCAAGGGCAAGCAGCAGTCCCCACAGGAGGAGGAGACCTCGGCCAAGAAGAATCAACGTGAATCCAACCAGGGCTGCAACGACCACAGCACCATGATCATCAACAACGTCATGCCCACGTACAAGGTCTACGCTGCCAGAAGACACGACTGGGAAGCACCCCCAAACAACCCCAAACTCAAAGAAGAGTTGGGGAAGATCTAGGTCATGGAACAAAGGCGGGCAGTCGCAGCCATCATGAAGAACAGCACTGCCCGGCTACATACTACCGACGCCGGGCCCCGGATTGCTTTCATCAAAGCCATGATCATCAGCAGCATGCCGCTTGACGCAGGTGCCGCCGACGACGAAGCGGAACCTGGCCGAAGAGAATGCCAACCCCTTAAGACTCCTACACCAACGCCCAGTAGGCAAACCAGGGTAGGCGAGTCTACAGAAGGTCATAACGTTGGCGCCCTATTCAATACACTCGAGGAGGTCAAGCAGCGTCCCGTCCAGGACGCTCAGAAAAATAGGAAAGAGGCCAATGAGAACTTCGAAAACCGCCACCAGACCAGCAAGGAGCTCGGAGCCGCAAGAGAAGAGGCCAGAGCTGAACTACAGGAGCTTCGACAACACCTACGAGGGGTTGAGGCCAACTTTGAGACCGAGCGGACAAAAGCAGGGGCACACCACCAACGAGGCCGAGGGCATCCAACACAAGCTAGGGGAGGAGCTTGCCATTGCCCACTACCATGATACTCACGACAAGATGGCCGCGCATCACGAATATGTCCTAAAACGAGCCACAGCCGAGCTCTACGGCACGGAGTAAGAAGCGGAAATTATCAAAATCGATTGCCAGAAAAATGTGTCATCCCTGGGAGAGAGGACCTCCTTCGTGGACAGTGAGAACGAGCTGAAGAAGGCACAGCAACCACTCGAGCGCCACGAGCAGACCCACACCATGCGACGACATCTGCCATCCTTGGCGTTTCGCGTATCCCCACCACCCCATCCAAAACCGACGCCCAGGGGAGTTAAGACGATCAGGGAAGTGCAGGAGCAAAGAAGGGGGGCAGCCGCTACCGTTCGGGGGAGGAGGAGGACGAGGAGGAGGAGGAGGAGGAGGAGGAACAGGAGGAGGAGGAGGACCAGGCGGAGGAGGAGGAGGAGGAGGAGGAGGAGAACGAGGAGGTGCAGAAGGTGCAGGAGGTGCAGGAGGAGGAACGGATGACTCTTGGAAGTTTGTTAGAGGCATTTGGGGGCATCTAGGAGACATCTTGGCGCACCCAGGGCAGTCTTTGAGCGTCTTCGGTGCTTCGGGGATCCTCTTGAGGCATCTTGGGGGGCTCGCGGGAGCCTCTGAGAGGCTCGTTGGGCGCCTCTTGGGACCGTCCGGGCGCCTCTTGGGGCCATCATTGGACGCCCTTGAGCCATCTTGGAAGTCATCGGTCAAAAAGATAGGGGATGTGCTTTAATTAGGGCCCCCACCACCACCACCACCACCCGCGGGAGCCCAAACAACGCATCTTGGGGCGTTCTTGGAACGCTCTTGGGCGCTCTCGGGGCCGTCTTGGAGGCCTCGTGAGCCCCATCGTGAAGCCATCCTGAGGCCTCGGAAGGCCATCGGAAGCGAAAAGGCGAGAAAGCAGAAAACATTGATCTTCTTTAGGTGTTGGAAGGATTTGGGCCTCTTGGCGGCCTCCTGGGGATGCTCCCTGACACTTGGAGCCGTCTTGGAGCGTTCTTGGGGCCTCTTGGAGTATCGTGGGAACCAGATTGAGGCATCGCCGGCTATCTTGAGCCTTCTCGGAGGTCATTTTGGGCTCTCTGATGCGCTCTTGGAGCCGTCTTGGGCCACATTGGACGCCCCCACCCCATCGCCCCCCCCGTCCAAGTCCAGGGGAGGGTGTCAGGGGGGTTACACCTTTCCCCGAAGGGGAAGAAGTGGGTTAGAAGAGCAAGCGCTCTAGATCACCTACGCCCAGAGGGCTGGCGGGATTTGCAGACCAGGCAGCCGCCGACAGGGACGTAGCTGGAGGATACAGGTCACCACAGTTCTGTCACCCAAGTATAGAGACGCAACGACGCGAACAAGCGGTACTTCATAAAAAAGCCTGGTGCGGTCCACCAACCTGCTCCGCAACGCCAACCTGGGTTTGGAAGACCAAGAAAGACGCATGGAGGCCACCATCGGCAACATGGAGGACACGGTCGAACGGAGAGTCACTGACATCGAGAGACAAGTTCGAGCCAGATTAGCAACACAAGCACATCACGATGGACAACACCGGAGCAGGGCACTCACTGACATGAGCGAGTTCCAGGACCAGGCCAGGCGCCACAGCGTGCAACTCAAGCCGAAGGTCCTCTGCAACGTACCTCACAGCGAACGGAGACTGGCTCCGTGCAGCAGAGCGAAGCCCGCCAGCGCGAGACCTATATGCACAAGCAGAACGAAGCAACGCGGAGAGAAGGTAACGCCATCCACCAGAGGCGCACCGAGGAGGCCACCCAGGAGTACTTCTACGCGCAGTAACTCATGCACAACAACGCTCAGGTTCCATGGTCCGAGCCTTTCCCAGCCTCCCCCCCCCCCCCCGCGGAGTGGAGCGACATGCGATCCGCCTGCAAGACAGCGTGTCGCCGAGGCGTCCGCCGCGACGCGCTGGTCCAAAGTTCCTGACCTTATCTCCTCGCGCGCTTCACGCAGCATCTTTCATGTCAACGTAGAATCCACCCGCTCGGGCCATCGGTCGATTGTTGCGTCCCCATGTACATCCATATTCTTCCCGCCCTCTGTTTCTGCCCGCCTCCCTCTCCGCATCCCCGATCCTTTCTCATTCGCGTCTCCCCCGTTTCCCCGTTCCCTTTAAACCAAGAAGTTGCCCACCTTCCTTCATCCGCCATCTTGCGCAGCCGCAGATCCCCGTCTTTCCATTGTGACAGGGCTGCTATTACCTGCGGAACACGGAGGACCTCACTTCGACGCTTTGGCTGAATAACAACAAGGAGAGCGAGGGGAAAGGTCCCGAGATTTTCTCGCCCGTCGGTGCCCCTTCTGTCCACCGCGGCCCTTCTGTTCATCCCTGGTTCACAGCACCCCTCTTAGGTATTACGTGCGACGTATCCTCCCTTTCCCTCGCCCCCCCCCCCACACACATTCCATGCACCTGCCGCTCTCACGTCTGAGGTGGTCGGTCCGTCGGTACATGAGCCCATGGCTGTGGCGTCCAGCGCTTGCACAGCCGTGCGTTGTCTGCCGAGCCCGTTGCCAACTCCAGAGCACTCAGATGGAACGCGCCGCTGCTGTTGCAGTTTCCGAGTGCGTTTTCATAAGATTCACGAGGTCAAGCCAATCAGTTGCAGTCGGCGCCTAGCGCACACCAAATTTGCATTTCGAACATTGGATCCGAAGCCAATCATACCGATTGTTTCGTGGAACGCAGGGGTTGACAGCACGTTCCCTGTTATTGGTTCAACACGAGTCGGCCCAGTTGTTTCCATCCAGCAGGGCTTTGATTTGCGATCGTCGTGTGGGGGCGTTACCGACATAGAACAGTTACTCCGGATTTCGTAATAAGAGGGAGGGGATCTGGACCCTCCAAGACAAGCCATTTCAGACCCCCCCGTGGGAGAACCCTCCAAAACATCGTCCCCAGACCCCCCCAGGCCCTCCAAGATAGCCTGGAAGAGACCCCCCCCGAAATGAGACCCCCCTTCCTTTATTACGAAATCTGGAGCATGTTTGACACCCGTGTGGGGGGTTGGGCCCGAGCAGTTACGGCCTGAGGAAGGGGGAGAGGGGGTTGCAGCCATTGGGGGCGTTCAATGTGTCAGGGGCATGGCACAAGCAAGAGGGTGGGCAGCAGCAAACAAGGGTCGTCCCATGTGTTCACGCCCATGGGGATCAGTTGAGGGGGCGAATTGTTAACACGCATCCATCCATGGGGTGGGCTCAGCAGCCGTGGGGGAGGCATCATGAGTCGTAGATACCCGTAGTGACCATCAGACATTTGATTGGACGAGTTGGACGAGTTCTACAAACCGCCCTTAGGTGACGTAAGCGACGAGACAGGGAATCGAGAACTTGCCAATCATTTCGCATGCGAGGGTGGCCAACGACTGTTTTCATTTGTGCGGGTAAACAGGCTGGAGTGTATGTTAGCACCCGTGGAGTCATAAGCCATAGGGCGGTGTTGATTGGGGGGGGGGGCGGTGGCGGGGGCAATGTTTCATACAAACTTGCAGCAGCAGCAGCAGCAGCAGCAGCAGCAGCAGGGAGCACGCAACTTGCCAGCAGCCATTGGAGCCACCAGCTACAAGGCGTCACAGGTTGTTGATCCCCAACGGGGTCATCTGCTCAAGAGGGCGCCCACGATTCGCAAACACCCCTGGGTGCCATCAGCCACATTGGGGTCGCGGCATCTACCACCTGTGAAGGGGCAAGCAATACAGTATGTGAGTTAGGTCACGTAGTGCTGGATTTCATAGAGGCGCAGGGGCCGATAACCCAGGGGACCAGCGAAATCGCCGTGTTTCGATTTCGGACCGACGAGTTTCGATTTCACTCTCGCAAGTTTGTTCAATACGTGTTAGGCGGAATCGCAATTTCGATGTCGAGCCTAAGAGTTTCGACATCATGTCGAGTTTGGTGTGCTTTCGAGGAAGCCCCAAACGAAAACCACACGTTTTAGGCTTCCAAATGCCAGGCGAGTTGTCTGAGTCGAAACGAGGACTCCGCTTGAGACTTCCTCGAAACACCAAATCACCATATCGATCGAAGTCTGAATTCTCGGGTTCGAAAACGAAACGGCGATTCCACTCTGGATTTCCTCAACATCACACGCCCAAGCGTTTTCGGTTCAAAGACGAGACAGCGATTCCACCCGGGACGTCCTCCAAATCACTTGTCGAAGCGTTGCCTCGGTGGAACACGAAGCGAGCCAAGATTTTTGCAGCGCTGGTGTAATGTGCTTCTCTTGGGTTTGGCCCGTGTGCACCAGCACTTCCAGCCGATCGTTCTCGGAGTGTCAGCCTGGATCCGTTCTCGCTTCTGTGCGATGCAGGGCCCGGGCTTCAAGACTCGAACCCACACGAGTGAGGAGGAGGAGGACGAGGACGAGGAGGAGGAGGAGGAGGCTGCTGTAGCTCAGGCATGAGCATGCCCCTGATGTCCTCAAAGGGCTGGCAGGGCTCGCCGCTCTGGGAAAGAGCCCCCCGCGTGTCTGCAGCGCGCGGTCCAGCTCGGGAATGCTTACGCGTTTGCTTTGGCTATACGTACCTCAGGTGGTGAGACGTCGGACTGGGCCAGGGGCATCTTCCGCCAGCCCATCTGCGACACCGAGCTTTCCACAGTCATAACTTCCAGGAGCGCCCCCACACCAGCGGTTTGCAGGCCGGACAACACGTAGAGGTTCAAGGGTCAGTTGTAGCATTTGAAGTATCGTCTTTATTAGATCAATTTCCTGCGTGGTCGGTAGAGCGATTCTGTCCTCGTCGAAGGGGGGATATCGAGCAAATTCGCATGTGGTTGAGGGAAAAGTTTGTAGCGGTGCAGTTCGGGTGCAGGTGCGTCGCGAGTTCGGTTGTTGCAGTATTTTTGCGTGTCTGTTCTTCCGCGCAGGAATCACGAGATCATCTCCCAGGGAACCTGCAATAGTAGCGGAATGTTGCCCATCCACAGCAAGGCAGGTTGGGTTCTCGTTTGGGATTTGGGAGGACAGCACTGAAAGGATTGCAGTCAGGTGTTTGCGTGGGCTACACGAGATGATGAACGGATTGGCACGGCACGTGCGAGGGGATTGATCACACAGTGGATTACCGTCTCGCGAAATCGTGCAGCTCAAAGAGGTAAGCGACAACACAATAGATCGGGATCGCAAGCGTCGAAAATGAACGCTATGCAATTGAGTAGCCGAATGCAGATCGCCAGGCGAAGGTGAGCAGTCATACAGCCTTTTGAAGTATAGTCAACATTGTGTTCACACATCGTTATTCTAGACGCTTCAGATATCCCCACCAGCTCGTCGGCTCTCCTTTCCCGCGCACCCGCGCGTCTTCCCGGCCGACGCTGAGATGCGTCTCCTCAAATTTGCTCTGCATGCTTGCATGTGCGATCGGCTGTCGAGAGTGACGGCTGGGTTCGCAAATTATCTGGCTCCGTGCCCCCGTCAGCCCGATGGACCCGCCCTTTGGACTCTTCCTTGCGGGCCGCAGATCAAAAAAAAAAATCCCTACAAGCTCATCCAGAAACGATGTCCAGGCGAGTTGAGGTGAGCAGGGAAGTGCGAAAGCAAAGAGGTGGACGGCCGAACCGTGCGCAGGAGGGAGGAGGAGAAGGAAGAGGCTGGATGGATGGATGAGGAAGTGGGGAGGAGGAAGATGAATAGGAGGAGGGAGAAGGAGGAGGAGGAACAGAAGGAGTAGGAGGAAGAAGGAGGAGCAGGAGGAGGAGGGCAAGCAAAAAGGCTTGAGGTCTCTTGGATGCCTCTCGGAGCCTCTTGGGATATCTCTTGGGCGCTTATTGGAGGCCTCTTACGTCTTAGCGGTCTCGGCGGTCCTGGGGGGGCCATTGGGCGTCTTGGGTGCCTCGGGGGGGCATCTTGGGGCCGCTTGGGGTCCTCTTGGGGGCCTCCTGGGGGGCCTTCTTGGGGCCATCGCGTAGCCATCTTGGGACCATCTTGGGGCCTCTTGGGACATCCTGGGCGCCTCTTGGAGCTATCTTGGAGGAGATCGATCAAAGAAGGGGGGAGCTTTAATTCGCCTCCCCCCAAAAAAATGCCAAAATGGTGCCAAAAACCAAGTGAAGCCAATGATGGTGGCTTCCTCGCCGAGGCCATCATGGACGCTCTAACGACCCGCGACCGCACCCGTCCAGGTCCAGGGGAGGGGATAAGGGGGAGGGGTCAAGCTACCCACCCGCCCGCAAGCCGTCTAGCTCACTCCCACCCGCCCTCCCAACACATAAGGAACACCCGAGCCTGAGCATGTTCAGCGGTCGTCTTTGGATGGACAGCTACTGGGAACCAAAGCCGACCCCAGGTGCGCGACGCTTGGGCGAGGTGCGCCACGCGTGCCAGGGGCGCCACGCGCGCCAGGCACCCCTGGGGCCCGAGCGTGCCAGGCACGCCTGGTG